AAAATAAGAGTTTCCAATGGCAGTGCTGACAGAAAGTTAACTACAGCTTCTTAAACCCAGATGCCCTTAACAGTATTTATCGTTGCACATTCTGCGTATGGTACGTGCTTGTTTTTACCTTGCCCTTGTTACAGCCGACTTCTCAGTAGTAATGTGAAACCAAAATAATGGATGGGTTAACCAAAGAAAGGAGGGGGGGAACCTGGAACATTCTGTCATCTGCAATGTTACGTTTTGTCTTCACTTTTCTTTGTCATGAAAAACTTACTCTGCAAAAACTAACCGGGAGGGGTGGGGGAAAGTGACTCATATAAATATGAGTCCCAAATCTTTCAGGAGTGTTGGGAATAGGTGTTATTTGTTTATTAAAAATACCTTGGGCCAGTCAGCATCTCTCAACCTAACCTGCCTCACAAGGATGTTGTTAGGATGAAATGGGGAGGGGGAGGAGGTCCAGGTACAACACCTTGAGGGAATGTGAGATAGAAACATAATATATACCGGTAAATGGGGGAAAAACACACAACAAGCAATGTAGTTCAAGTCGGTGGGGCAACTTCAGAGAAAGGAGAGATGGAGAACTACGGTGTCAGCCACTCATATAAAAGATTTCTGTTAAGCTGTGTGTGTGTGTTGTACTGGTTTTATTGTTGGTATTGATACTGTACACATCTAATAACTGGAGCTGCCTCAACATAATTGCAATAAATTTACTAGCAATTTAGTTCCCCCTCCAATGAATGCATTTATTATTTACTTGGAACAAGCACACGCCATTGACAGCTATGGAACCTGCCCCCCACCCCCAACCCAAGCGAATGTGTTTAGGATTAGGGGTAACAGTTAAATAAGATTCCCAAATAGCGGAGGGGGAAAGTGGTTTCGCTTGCAAGAGAACTGGGAGACAACATAGCTGAACTTTGACCCTTTGTAACTCATTCCAGACTCGGCATCTTTCCACTTTCACATAGTTTATGTGAAGTCATCCAAGGAACTTGACACATCAGTAGCACATTGCATAGGGATAAATCCACCAACTTTGAATAGTTTCCCTCCATTAGCCGGGCCAAAGTTCATATCAGAGCCAGATACATTAACGGCTGGGTTAAGGATGTTGCAGTAAAGAAATCTGACCAAAATATCCCTTCGCCGTCAGCACTGGGCTGAGAATACATTTGCTCCCTACCCTGTGCTGGGTTCCTTTCAAATACTTTGCTCACGCTTCATCGCTCACCCAGTTACTCCCCCTTAACAGAACTCCTTGTCTGTGAGATCTTTATGGCAGGTAGAAGTTCAATAGGAGCAGCTTTCCCTACCCTTGGTGGGTGAAACTGCACCTGTTGAATTTCTTCCTCTCTCGTGCACCTATTCTATCCCCAGAGTGACCTCTGCTGTGCAAAAGTGCTTGGGGAGAGAAGTAAATGTTTGGCACGATTATGAAGGTTTATCACCACTTAAGTTATCCAATCGCTTTCTTCTCAAAATCGAATCCACGCAATTGGGGGAGTCCCATATTTTAACACAGACAACTGTCTCAGCTTCTAATTCCAACCACCCTGGCAGCATGAATACTGAAAGAGACCGAGAAATAAGATGGTAAGGAGCTTCAAGAAAAGCCACCAAAGGCGACTGTCTTTCTCCCACCGGATCATCTGAAATGTGCAGTGTGAATGCATCCACAGGCAGCAAGGTTTCCAAAGGTTGTTTCTGCCCATCTGCAATGTAGGCTGTGGCAAGCACACTCTGAGTAGCATAGGAGCATACAGTGGTACCTCGGGTTCCATATGCTTCAGGTTACAGACTCCGCTAACCCAGAAATAGTGCTTCAGGTTAAGAACTTTGCTTCAGGATAAGAACAGAAATCGGGCTCCAGAGGCGCGGCAGCAGCAGGAGGCCCCATTAGCTAAAGTGGTGCTTCAGGTTAAGAACAGTTTCAGGTTAAGAACGGACCTCCGGAACGAATTAAGTACTTAACCCGAGGTACGACTGTAATATGATCCCTGTTGAGACCACAGCATTAGAGATGCAAGCAGGATCTACAACAAAGTGTTGCAGTGTCACTCTGTTCCACAGCTCCTCCGCTCAATCAGTTCTCCATTCCCTCCCCTTCGTCACTCAGTCAGAGCTCTATGACCACTTAACGTGCTCAGATTTCACTGGGCTGTTTTGAGGGTTTCCATTCCTTTTGGATGTCACATATTATATGTGAGTGCACGTGTGTGAAAGAGATAAGAGAGAACCTTCCCCTGAGTCTGCTGGTATATTGTCTCTTGAGCGGGAGGGGGTGTAGTGCTGCTTTGGCTACAGAAGAAATGGCACTCACATCCTGAATATTGGAAACAGAAGGAAATGTACCTTTTTGGAGTTTGTGGGGTACCTCAGTATGTTCTGTGCAAGGTTCCAGTTCAGTTTCTGGAATAATGGGCAAACATTTGTCTAACAATTAGGGGACCAGACAGAGGCATGTCCCTAGTGAATATTCCTGCTGCAAACAAGTGTTTTCAAACTTTATGGCTTGTATCTAACATAGTTCTGCATAACCGTATCATCAGTGCAAGAAGTTCCACTTGCACAACAGCCTTTGCTTCCTCTCCCCCTCCCTGCTCTTCCCAGATCTGCTCCAGAGGGTTGGAGGAACCCCCAAAGCAGATTTAGAGGGTACACAGTGGGGAGTCCCATTGTGCAAGCAAAACTCCTTGCGCCCAGACTGTTCTTAGCACTACATTGGGTACAAGGCTATTTATTTATTTTTACTTACTGTTCCGTTTCTATCTCACCCTTCCTCCAAGGATCCCAGGGCGGTGCATGTAGAATCATAGAATTGTAGATCTAGTCCAATCCCCTGCAATGCAGGGATCTCAACACAGTCTCCCGTCCAATTTGAAACCACACTAGACCCTGCTTAGCTTCGCAAATGTGCTAGCAGTTTTATTGCTGCACCACATGGTTCTCATTTTGTCCTCCCCACACCCCTGTGAGGTAGGTTAAGCTAAGAGGTGGTTACTGGTCCAAGGTGAGGCTTATGACTGCAGGAAGTTTTGAACCCTGGTTTCCCAGGACCTGGCCACTACTCTATATGCTGCCTCTGGAGCAAGAACATACTCTCCATGAAGTGGTGTCAGGGCGTCAGGAGAGAATCTTAATGCTGGCAGCATCTTTGGAAATATATCCACTTAAATTGGGCAGTGGGGGAAAGGAGAGAGATTCAACTTCTTGGCTGATGTTTCCGTAGCATTTCTCTCCCCCTGCCTTTCTTGTGCCTCTGCAATTTTACTGGAATGACTAAATCTCTCAACTATGTCAGCAGTAAACAGAATTAATTTACCTCCTAATTCTTTGAAACAGCTGCCGACAGCTGTGCTAGAATCAACTGGGCATCTTTGCAAGGCTGCCAGCGACGGATTTACGTTTTTTCCTTGGGGCTCTTACCCCCCACCCCACCCCCACATTTCTGCATTAAGAGCTATGTGGTTGCTGTGACTGTTGACAAGTAACCATGGCACATAATCTAAGCAGTTAGGAATACAAGGAAATAGGAGGTGGGAATGAATCAAAGCAAGGGGGGCAGGCAGTTCCCCACTATTAGGTGATCTTGAGATCTAGTAGACTGACAGGCCTTGTGACTAAGGGGGAAAGAAGGAATGTAACTGCATAGGACGCAGGGGTATTATTTTTTACCGAATCAGACCATTGGTCCATTTAGCTCAGGATTGTCTACCGTGACTTGCAGAGGCTCTGTAAGGTATCAGGCGAGGGAATATTACCAGTCCTAACTGGTGACATCGGGGATTGAACTTGGGACCTTCTCAATATAGTGGTACCTCGGATTAAGAACTTAATTCGTTCCAGAGGTCCATTTTTAACCTGAAACTGTTCTTAACCTGAGGTACCACTTTAGCTAATGGGGCCTCCCGCTGCCGCTGCACCGCCGGAGCACGATTTCTGTTCTCATCCTGAAGCAAAGTTCTTAACCCGAGGTACTAATTCTGGGTTAGCAGAGTCTGTAACCTGAAGCGTATGTAACCCAAGGTAAAGGTAAAGGTAAAGGGACCCCTGACCATTAGGTCCAGTCGTGGCTGACTCTGGGGTTGCGGTGCTCATCTCGCTTTATTGGCCAAGGGAGCCAGCGTACAGCTTCCGGGTCATGTGGCCAGCATGACTAAGCCGCTTCTGGCGAACCAGAGCAGTGCACAGAAACGCCGTTTACCTTCCCGCCGGAGCGGTACATATTAATCTACTTGCACTTTGACGTGCTTTTGAACTGCTAGGTTGGCAGGAGCAGGGACTGAGCAACGGGAGCTCACCCCGTTGCAGGGATTTGAACCGCCGACCTTCTGATCAGCAAGTCCTAGGCTCTGTGGTTTAACCCACAGTGCAACCCACATCCCCTAGGTACCACTGTGTTATATTTCGAGTTGACGATTGACGTGCCCAGCAACTAGGGTGAAGTGGAGGCAAGTGGAGGCTCACAGTGATGGAGTTTGGGACACTTTATATATTTAAAGCACATGATTCCCACACACACACACAGAATCCTGGGTACTGCAGTTCAGCCTTCACATAGCTAGAATTCCCAGCACCCATTAAAAAACTACAGTTCCCAGGATTCTTATGGTGTGTAACCAGGGACAGCAAGCGGAGACCATGGATTGACTCTAACGCAAGCCTGAATAAATAAAGGTTTACTTCTAGCAGTATTAGCAAGGATGCCTTGACATATTTTTAAGTTCATCATTTCTGCCCTGCTAACACGGCCAACAAAATTACCATGGCAGACACGTTAAATCAATTGCCTATCTCTTGAAAGGATAGATCTTGTCACTCATCTTCATGTGCGCAGGATGGACTATAAGTACACAGATGAAATCCTGAGTGTACCTTAGTGGTACTTTACTCAAGTTATGAATAAATGTGCACAGGTCTGGGGTGCAAGCACAGGTAGGGCAGAGAGCAGAGGAAAAAAGAGAAATGATCACATCAACACACAAAACTAGGCAGTCTTCTTTAAAACATGTAAAACAGCAATGATTTATTTGATTAAATTGTACAAACAACCTTCTAAAAACAACTGCTCTAAAGGGGGGAAAGGACCCAAAATGTATAGTTTTCTTTTTGCGCCAACAGTTGTTAATAAATATCTTTAAATAAGGAAACAAAATGTGCTCAAAGGAGAGATGAAGATATATATATTTTTCCTGAACGTGATTGGAGGGGAGAGAAAAATCCAGTAGCTGAAATAAATAATTTTTGTTCTTGCTTTCGTGAAAACTATTTACACAAACATGTACAAACAATGCGGAGTTTACACAGAGATGGGCAGAAAGCCTGCCATTTATTACCCCAGGAAAAACAATATCCCCATAAAACATATCTTAAAAAGAAGAGACTGGAGGGTATACAGTGAAACGGTTTATGCCACCTATAGAACAGCAACCAACAAGGCACTGGAGCTCACCCATATAATATATAATAACACACTCAGAAGGTGTTTCTTATGCATCGTTAGCCTTAAAAGAAGTATCTGAGTTCCCTGAACAAGGCTTATCAAACCCCTAGAAGTAGATAGTTAGGTGGCTGAACTTTTCTATAATAACGCACCAGAGGTCTAGGCACTTCCCCATGCTGGCTTCTCTGGCATGGGCTGCCTGGGCAGGATTGTTGCAAAGCTAAGTGGGGGAGAAGATAACAAGGCAGGAACAGTTCCAGGTCTTGCGGAGGCCCCTGATGGGTCCACAACAGGTAAGCCAGACATCGCTGCAGGGCCTTGTATTTGTTGGCCCCGACCAATTTTGTGTGGTTATACACCAGTATCTGATTATGTACCTTCTGATCAGAGATAAAACACGGCAAGAAAAAGTTTTAACATACTTTGATCCCAATGCTGTCCATCAAGATAAAGGAGCTATATATGTATATTCCAGGATTGCCTAATTAGGAAAATTTATCGCTAGTTTGGGGTTTCCAATATCTAATATTTGACAATAAATAAGCTTGGGGAATATAGTTCTGGATTTGGAATACCAAATCCTCCTTGTTTAACTTGTAATTGCATTTTTAATAATGGCAGCCTTGGGAGTCGAAGAACCCCATAGGCATTTTCTTAATAAAGAAATTTGTTTGTTGAAAATATTTTTTGGGGGAATGTGGACTGGAATTCCTGATCAGAAAGTGAAGGTAAAGACATGCCGAGGTGATTGTACAACCACCGCTTATGACGGTATGATCATTTAAAGGTTTTTTGGGTGTGGGTGGGTGCCCCTCGTGCAATACACACACCCTATCTGGGGTCCAGTCCTCCTCCCCACAGAGACCAACCCCCCACCCCCATGCTGCCAGAGGGAGAAGTAGGTAGGCAAGCAGATATGTCAATTCCTACTCTTCCTCATGTGGCTGCACTCCAGCAACAAGTATGCTACCTTTCCTCTGACTCTGTGAAGGAGGACGAGGAAGTGTCCTCTCTCTCAGAGGAGGTCCTGACCAACCAAGGCCCACATCAGCACCAGCTGGCCCAGGGACGAGCTGAGGTTTCAGACGCTACCAGAAAGCGCCTGTTGCTAGCCCAAGTAGTAGGCTCTGTCTGGAGAACATGCAGCCTTTCACCCAGGCCTCAAATTTGCCAGCTTGCTAGGGGCAGCCATAAGAAAAAGGCCGCCTCATCGCAGCACAAACCCCACTGTGATAGCAGGACCCTTCTCCCCTCATTGGAGGTTTGCAAAACCCCACGCGCTGAATGACAACAACGGCTGTGCTGTGGATCTCAAACCTTCTCAGTCGTTCTCTCACGTGAATGCTGTACTTCTGGGTGTTTTTTCTGCCCCCTCCCCCTTTTCCACCAAGGCCTCGTTGAAATGTACAATGAGACAGAGGACTGCTGGTTATTTATGATGCCTGATATTTCTTGCACCAAATCATGTCTGAATTTTGAGGCTGTGACTGGTGGATGTAAGGAACTTTTTAGAGAAGCTGCTCTTGCTACTTCTGGCAGCAAATACCGTGGTCTGGAAGAGCACAGTTCAGATCCTGGCTTGGACATGAATCCCTCTGGCTATTTATTGGGCAAGTCAGTGTGTTCTTAGGCCTAGGGTTGAAGGTTAGCACCCTTGTCTCAGGCCAGCCTTCCCCCAACTTGGTGCCCTCCAGATGTTTTGGACGATGACTCCTATTAGCCCATCCAATGTGATGGAGGCTAATAGGAATCACGGTCCAAAACATTTGGTGGGCAAAACAGGGGTTTTATCTATGAACTGTACAGGTCTGTACAACTTCTTTTGTTCTGCATAATTTAGTCTACATTCTAAAAGTATTTAGCATTGTAAGGCACAACAAGCTATGCAGGCTAATAAAACTCCATGCCCAATTAGTATAAAAGGTATTCAGTCACATCTTTGATAATGTGGGGTTTTGGGGAGTCCTTGGTAACACCTTGAGGTCCCACCAGCAACAGACAGAATTTGCTGTGGACACTTTGTTCAGTCCCACAAATTTCCAAGCATGACTTCGCCAGCAAAACAGGCTTTTGGCCAACCAAGATACACAAATCCCACCTGCTCCCCACAAAATTAACCAGTCTGATTTGTTCCTAAGATTTCTGTGTTCATTCATTATATTTTTAGAAGGGACTTTGTATGTGTATGTATGGAAAATTGGGATTTAGCTGTAGCACTTAATAGTCCTTGATAGAGCTATCCTCTGTGCTCCAAATGCTTTTTGAAAAGTCATCTTCATCTTGCGGAAAATCATCCTGCAAGTTAAGTTATCCCTTCCCAATGTTCAGAGGCCTGCTTCCTTTAGTCCTCCTTCCTATTTACTAATCTTGGTATCTTTCCCCTCGAAACTTTCCCAGTGTCCCAAGCCTCTTTTTGAAAGTAGTACAAATAATGAAACACAGTGCTTCAGATACAGACATCTTAAGCTCAGGAGCACAAAAACACCTCAAGTTTTGGAACAGTTTTACCTGTCGGTGCAACCTAAAATGATATTTGTCTTAACATCATACTGTTGATTTGTGTACAAGTTGGTAATCAACTGTAGTTCCTAAATCTTTCTTAAATTCCCTGACGCCTCCCAGTTTCTCAGCAAATGGGTTCTTCTGAATTTAATTCTGTCCCCCAAGTCATACTTCTGAATGTATGACCTGTCCTTTACAGTGTTGCAGACCTTCCCAATTTGATAAGGATCCTGTTCATTTCCTCATCCATATCGGTAAAATACAGAACTCTGCCCAGTGTTTATTTATTCATTTAACACAATTCATATGCCACTGGATGGTAATAAAACCTCCAAGCGGTTTACAAGAAATATTAAAAATTTATCAATAATATTTTTGCGAGGATTGCTGCTGGATACATGCTATAGTACCCCCCTGCCATGCCAGATTTGGGGAGGATTCAAACCAGCACTACAGAATATTAGAATCTGAGAGAGGATGCTGCTCAGGAAAATAAAATCCTTGTGACAAGCACATCCCTTCCAGACACCAAAAGAGGTCCACTGTTTTGGAGGCCTAAGTATTCCTATCACCTATGGAGTTGGAAGTAAATCAAATGAAAGTAAGTTTAAGGATGCGGAGAATGACAATGATTTTCTGTTCCTAGAGTAAAAACTGCTAATTTGTTGTTGTGGCTAAATGTTATGAAAAAGAACCAGTTTCGTAAATTTTATTGTTGGTTTACAGCAAATTTTTAAAATATAAAAATAGGAGTTCTGTTGTGGCTTAATTGTGCAAGGTGTCACACAATTAAGTCAACTGTACTGAAGATACATGACAGTGAATCAGATACGTTTGCAGTTTATATGGCTGTCGGTGTGTTAGGATGGGAACATGATGTACAAATAACTATTCTAGATTTCTATTGCTGGCTGTGCTTTTGATTGGGGAACATGATGCACAGCTGTAAATCAATCTCTCTCCCTCTCTCTCTCTCTCTCTCTCTCTCTCACACACACACACACACACACACAAACACAATTGAGATCTGCTTTGCAAGAATTGCAGTACCGCTTTGGTGGTGAAATGTTCCAAACATGTAAAATGTTATGGGAAGATAGAAACATCCATGAAAACAAAAAGTCAGGACTTACACATCCACAGTAATTTTAACAGAATCACTGCTTCATTCAGGCAGCTGAATTCACTCATTTCAGTTCAAACAATTCATTCCTCTAAAAGTAACTTTTACAAATCTGTGCCCTCCCCACACACAACAGACACGCAATCACACACACAAGCATGTTTCCCACTACATATGGCTTTTAGTTGTTGTTAAAAAGGTTCATTTCCCCCTTGACAAAGCACTTTTGGACAGGTTTTGCTTGCCTTACGGAAGTACGGACCTGTTTACAAAAGCGATCCTCGGTCCTTGTTTTCCTTGTGCATCAGTTTGCAGAATGATGCTTATTTGGAAGCCAAAATTGTTCAAGGTGCCGCTTGTGTCTGCGTTTCTTCTCTTTGGCCACTTCAGAAAAGGTGTTCCTAAGAACTGCGGCATGTTTTCAAAGAAGGGTTTCTTTTCTTTCTAACGACACATGTTATAAGACAACATCACACACAACCTGCACATTCTGCAAGCTGCATGCGGCTTTCCCGATCTGAATGTTCAATGGCAGCCACAGGCTCGTACCACCATGTTCCGGTATTTCTTCAGAATGACGTTGGAGCTGTCGTCAAAATAGAGGACGGAGATGGCGTTGAGCTGCGTTGGGGCACAGCAAGGCTTCGGCACTGTATCTGGGTTTATAAAGTGAACCTGTTGAGACAAAAAAGTCACAAGACATCAAGGTAGTCACATCTTCTCTTCTACGGCCACCATCACAAAATGTTTTGATAGGTGTTAGCACAAAGCATTTCCTATAGACTCTTTCCTATTGACCCAGACTTGAGAACCTGGGTGTTTTAACGCAGAGACGGGGAAGATGTAGCTCACCAGATATTGTTGAACTTTAATGCAACAAGGCCAATGGTCAAGATGGGGAATGCAGTCCAACAATGTCTGCTTCCCATTCCTGTTGTAAAAAACAGCATCACTACCATTTTCTTCCATTTTCATATCTTTCACAAGGAGAAAGACAGAAAAAGTCTGCACCACAGCCGTTCCCATTCAAGTTTCAAGTGAGAGACACAGCATCATCACCTAACAAGATATTTGAATTTTGCATTAGGGATCCCTCCTGAACACCAGTGAGGAGCAGCTGAGAGGGAAAATGGCCTTTGATGTTGTGCAAGGCATGCAATTATAGTTCCTTCCTCTGCAAGAAGATCTGCTGCAAGAAGATCAAAGCATGGGCAGAAAAGGCTCAGCAGAGAGGTAGATGTGGTCCTTGCAAATATGCAAAAAGTGCTCATGCATTTTGCAATTACATGCATGCAATTTGAAGGATGCAACTGCATTTTGAGCTTGAGGTTTTGAACAGTTATAGGTACGGCTTTGCAGTTCAGCTGTGCACTGCATTCTTCCACTGGGATTATGGAGTTCTTTTTGCCTTTTCTCACAATCAGAACATGGTGTTGGAAAGCTCTTATTAAAACAAGCAAACGAACAAAAAACTTCTTTATGGGGGAAAAGGAAAGTGAAACTTGGGTGGAGTTAAATATATGTCTGTGTGTCCATGAGAAACAACTATTTATTTTAATAGTTATTTTAATAAGCTATTTTTTCTATGTGACCGCTTTATATGATTAATCTTTTAATGAGATTACAAACACACAAATACTATTATGTTCTCTCTGGCTGATTTTTATACAGGCTTTTAAGTACTTCATATCCTCTGAAAGTTTTCTTCTGATGAGCAGCTAATAAACCTAGTTTGGGCACCTGCTACTACTAATTCTTTTTGTGCAATGGGTGCACAATGGGTGCAATCCACTGAAAATGGGCTCAGCCACTTGCTGAGTTAAAGGACCCCTGGACGGTTAAATCCTGTCAGAGTCGACTAAGGGGTGCGGCACTCATCTGGCTTTTCAGAGCAAGGGAGCCAGCATTTGTCCACAGACAGCTTTCCTGGTCATGTGGCCAGCATGATGAAACCACTTCTGGTGCAACAGAACACCGTGATGGAAGCCAGAGCGCACGGAAACGCCGTTTACCTTCCCGCTGCAGCAGTACCTATTTATCTACTTGCACTTTGACATGCTTTTGAACTGCTAGGTTGGCAGGAACTGGGACAGAGCAACGGGAGCTCACTCCATCGCGGGGATTCAAACCACCAACCTTCTGATCAGCAAGCCCAAGAGGCTCTGTGAAGTACCACCACTGGGAATGGCCAGCCCAGACTTCTCCGCTTGCAACATCAAGGAGCCCAGCACACTCCTTGAGGCTCTGCCCAATCTGTAACCCTGCAGGAGTAACAGCAACACCCTGCCTTCTATATGAAGCTCTATCTCCTGACAGTTATTGGCCCTTGCCCAAGAGAAGAAAGGCAGTGGCAATGTGAACACTTTTTGCTGCTGCAGCTGCCGAAAAAGTTAAATGTTTGAACAAGGAAAGGAAAGTGAGGTGAGGTGAGGTCCTCCTTCTGCCTTTGTAAGCCCACTCCCCTCCCTTTCTCAAAACAGCACAAAGTTATTTGCACCACCTTCTTCTCCCCATTTCAGGTTTTCCTCAAAGTGCCCCTACCTGAGCAAATCTCAAAACGGGTGCAAATAATACCCAGCATAATATCTAGAGGTTATTTCACCTTGTTAAAATCCACAATGACTAACACCTCGCGTGATTCAGAAAGAAAGAAAGAAAGAAAGAAAGAAAGAAAGAAAGAAAGAAAGAAAGAAAGACATTGATCGGATTAAGTCAAGCTGTTCGAAAAGGGCATTAGGATGAGCTTACCAGTGTTTGTACAATAGCATGGTTTGTTGCATTCATGTAAGAGTTCAATGGAAAGGCACACTCTCCCTCGCAATAATACGCAGCATAACCTTCTGGAGCAATGATCCAGTCCTGGGTTACATCAGAGAAAGAGAAGATTTAGTAAAACACTCCTCAGTACGTTTGACATTTGTAGATGTTCACAGCACTGGCTTCAGCTGATCCATCCCAACCTCTGACTACACCATGGAGGCATTTGCACATAATGATAAGCCATAAAAGGTAAAGGGTAAAGGGACCCCTGACCATTAGGTCCAGTCATGGCCGACTCTGGGGTTGCGGCGATCATCTCGCTTTATTGGCCGAGGGAGCCGGCGTACAGCTTCCGGGTCATGGGGCCAGCATGACTAAGCTGCTTCTGGCGAACCAGAGCAGCACACAGAAACGCTGTTTACCTTCCCGCCGGGAAGCACTTTGAGGTGCTTTCAAACTGCTAGGTTGGCAGGAGCAGGGACCGAGCAACGGGAGCTCATCCCGTTGCGGGGATTCGAACCGCTGACCTTCTGATCGGCAAGTCCTAGGCTCTGTGGTTTCACCCACAGCGCCACCCGCGTCCCTTCTATAATAAGCCATACTTTCTGGTTAATCATGGTTTATCAGGAACAAGCAGTGTGCTAGCCATGGTTTATCAGGAAAGAGCAAGGCATCATGCCTGATCGCTCCTCCCTTGGCATGAGTGGGATGAACAACAAAGCAGGAAGCCTCAGCTTTGTGTTACATCTGAACTAGGCTGCATGGTTTGTTGCTCCCTAACAAGCCATAAGAACCAACAATCTAAACCCATGGTTTGTGGTCGACAGGATGATTGTGTCTTGTCAACGTGCAGGAAAACGCAATCCTTGATTTGGACGTAACACAAAATCAAGTCTTCTTGATCCCGCTCACAGCAGGGGAGAAGCAGAGCAGGAGGAACTGGGTAGAATTCGCCAACAAGCAGCTTGTACTTTACTATAATTGCCTATAAGAAAGTCTGGTTGGCTGCTACATGCAAGTGGAGCTATTGAAGGATTTTGTGACTATTCTGCTGCACATCAGGGGTACGGAGCCTCAAATCTAGAGGTCAAATACAGCCCTATAAGCCTTTGCATCTGACCCTTGGGAGTTCCCCTTGCACCATACCCTTGCCCCAGGCCACACCCCTCATTTGGCCCTGCTTCACATCTTATTGCCTGGCTGGTTTTTGCCTTGCTGGAATGTGTCCTTATATCCTGTTAATGGTTCTGGCCTGTCTGGATGGAAGACAGAGAGGAGGGTGCAAAAGCTACCCTACTGTACAAAGGCAAAATTTACATGGATTGCTCCACCCACTTTCTGCCTCTGGCCCTGCCCCCAAGTGGCATGTGAGCAGCCCTAAGAAGGTTGCTCAGGAGGAAATGTTGCCCTCCAGCTTATCAAGAACCATTTTTCACTGCATCTCTCGCTTTGCAGCTGGGCATTTTTGGTGGTGCAAGGGAATCAAGTTCCAGCTACTTGGTGAAGGAACCAAATGGCCCCATTCTGGAAGGATGGTTCTGCCAATGGCTTTTGGAGCCAATAACTAGGTGGAGCTTCCATCTTTAGGACTAGTGAATACCCCTTGTTGATGGCCAATTGAGGAGGCAGACTTGGCTTTTGTGCTCCCTGGCGGGCTTCTGGTGGCTGCTGTTTCAATGCTACATCTGCCATCACTCTCAGTAAATCGCTAGTCTTTGAGGATGGCTTTGAAGATGAGCAAGGAGGGGGAGTGTTTGGGGCACCCCACTAAGAACACAAATTTGTTAACCTGCTTCTGAACACACAGGTAATCTTTTGTGAAATTGGAAAACAACTGCATTTGGGGCATGCGCCCCACTGGCATTAAGCAACCTCTTCACATTTTTCAAGATTCAGTACGCAGGGCTGATCAAATCGTGGCTGATTTTGGTGAGGGCATTTGCTCATCATTAAACCAGCAGACTTTCAGATGGGGGCAGCCAAATTAGAGTTCAACAAACTAAGCTGAGAGTATGACCTTAAGGAGTTGCAAATCTGCAGGACTGATCACCAATCAATAATACCCCCCCATCCCTCCGATTGTTATGACTTTGCAGTGGTACCTTGTTTTGCGACCGGGATCCATTCCAGAGCCCTGATCGCTAGCCGAAAAGGATGCAGGGCAAAGCGCGAGCGGCAAACCCAGAAGTAATCCGTTCCAGTACTTCCGGGTTTGCCACAGACATTCGCCGGAATGGACACTAGACGAGGCAAACGATTGCGGAGGTATTATCGTACATTAGAAGTTTGCAGCAACTGCCAGGATGGGCTTAGCCACTGCTCTTCTCTAAGGGTCAGAACTTGGAAAACTGGGTCATGGGGTTCACATTACCGGCACAATAGCAACAGAGGACTAAAAATGCACCACAAATCTCTGATTCCAAGCACAGAAATCACATTACCTGCCAGCCAAGATCCCTGAAGCTGACATAGAGCTCATGTTTCTTGCAAGCTTGTCTCTGGTCAGTGCTGCTGTTTTCTGAGTTTGAAAAGTGTTGAGTAGGAAAAGGAGAGAAAAAAATTACCATGTTAGCTGAGATTGACCAGCAGCAAACTACACGGCAAATTTAGTGACTGCACAGCCCAGTTAAGGGCAATTTCTGTCACCCTCACTTACATGAACATTTTAACATCAGACTTTTTTTTGAGTGGGCACATATCAAAATTTGAGTTGGGGGCAGGATCAAAATTCTGCCTCAAACTCTGTGCAAGGAAAAGCTGTTGGCAGTATTGCGAGAGGTGAATGCCATTACACTTCATGACTTATTGTATTATAAGCTTCAACAATAGGAAACGTTGTTAATGAGCATTTTAAGCAGCCTATTGTTTCCTGTGAAAAATCAAGGAAGCCCCCAGAAACAAATTATTGTTACCTCTGATCCACATATTGTATTTGCAAAATCAGCTTTGCCATCTCACTCAAACCAGGGCAAAACCTCAGAAAAGTAAACGATGCTTCTGTGTTTACATAACCCTAGCTTGTATTTATTCAAGTGCTTTTGCCTATGGCTACTTGTTCATTAACTGGGCAAAGGCAAAACACACTCACACTTTAGCCTCAGTCAGGCTTCTCCTCTCTGGTAGGCAGTTGTAACATCGCACACAAGATGCGGTGCCTATTTCTCCATATAGTTTGGTGCCTGGCTCAGAGTTGGGAACCACGGTTATGTTATGGCTTGATGGTTCTGCGGCACACAATGCGGCAAACTTGTGGATGGCCAGAAGTGCCATCGGTGGGGTCCCACCCAGCCAGTGGAACTCCTGCTCCGCCCATCTTCTACCCTGACTGCTGGCCTGTAAGGTCCCACCCAGCATTCACTCCCTGAAACAGAAATCGTTCCAGCTTTTAAACTGCATTCCCCACCAGGGTTAGCTTTATGGAAAGCACACACCTAATGCCGGCATACCTCCGAGGTTTGACACCCGAAAGGCTTCTTGGTTCTTTGGCGTCTTCGACCGGTTCTGGTTCCGCTGTTTGCCTCCTGCGGAACGGATACTGCGGAGATGCACCTCTGTGGCTTTGAAGAAAGCCACGGTGAAGGGCTGCTTGTTTTGCGGGCCGTGTCTTCCAATAAGACCAGCTAACTTGGGATTGATGCTTTGCCCTAAGGAGATGGGGGACGGACAGACCATTAGCTTTGAAGCGGAGTGTAACCTGCTTCCCATTTGCACCAGGAAGAGCAGGAAGACAAATAGCTGGACTTGCAAACACACAAGCTAAACTCCCATGGCTTTCCAGACGCACGCTGAGGCTAACTTAAAAACTTGTCGTGAGCATCCATTTGTCTCAAGAGACGACGGAGTGAGCCTCCAGGGCTGAAGTCAAGCTGCTGGAGAATCCCAGCGCCTGCTGTGGCTGCAGAGACTGGTAACTCCTAACTGCTGCCCCCTGCTCTCTTTTTGCTGCATCTGCAGCACCAAAGAACCACCCCAGGGTGCAAGCCTGTGTGTATGGAGGTCCTGGGCTGCCCAGATGACAGGACCCCTCTCTCAGTCTCGCTGATGTGGTCCAAAGGAAAGCAGAGCAATATGTTTGGCACCATCCTGGCTACAGGAATTGCCAGAAGGTGGGATGCAAGGCACTCGCCAAAGTGGTGCATGCTCTAGTTAGTTATCTCCCGCTTGGACTACTGCAATGCACTCTACGTGGGGCTACCTTTGAAGATGACCCAGAAACTACAAATAATCCAGAATGCGGCAGCTAGGGTTAGGCCGCCGAGACCACATAACACCGGTCTTGAAAGAGCTACATTGGCTCCCAGTACGTTTCCGAGCACAATTTAAAGTGTTGGTGTTGACCTTTAAAGCCCTAAACGGCCTTGGCCCAGTATACCTGAAGGAGGGTCTCCACCCCATCGTTATGCCCGGACGCTGAGGTCCAGAACAGAGGACCTTTTGGAGGTTCCCTCACTTCAAGAAGCAAAGCTACAGGGAACCAGGCAGAGGGCCTTCTCGGTAGTGGCGCCCACCCTGTGGAACGCCCTCCCATCAGATGTCAAAGAGATAAACAACTACCTGCCATTTAGAAAACATCTGAAGGCAGCCCTGATCAGGGCAGTTTTTAATGTGTGACATTTTGATGTATTTTTAATCTTTGTTGGAAGCCGCCCAGAGTGGCTGGGGAAACCCAGCCAGATGGGCAGGGTACAAATAATAAATTGTTGTTTTTGTTTTTGTTGTTGTTTGTTGTTGTTGTTGTTGTTGTTATCTTAGGGGCTCTACTCTGGATTTGTGAAGGGTTTACTCCTTTGCCCTTTCTTCTCTGAAAGATGTCCCCACAAGTCAGTGGTTACAGATTTTTTTCACTCTTCCGGTTTGCTCCCAAAGCCTTTCTCACTAGATTTAGGATCAAAAACTGGGCCCTGAAATTACGGCAGCTTTTCTCGCAAGCAATGCTTCAACACAACAAATGTTGTGTTATATGCCACGGTGCCCAAACTGAAGCAAATGTTATGTTATGCTAGGTCAACTTCAATATTAGACTTCCCTGGGTTTTTATTATTATTATTATTATTTATTTACAGTATTTATTTTGCTTTTTTGCTTCTAAGAGAGGTTTCTTTGAGTTCAGCAGCTTAGAATTTGATGTGATCCTGTAAAAAGGAACCATAAAAACTAGGCTCAGCGGAACACTAAATTCTCACTGGAAGGTTATTGGCTTAAAATAAAAACGCCTCATCTTAAATGAAGTCCAGTGCCATTCTGGATAGATTGCGCTTGAGGGCAAGAAATCGCTTTAGTCTTTCCAATATATTTTGCTTACTGACGCCAACTTTTGAACTTCGGTGTGCAAGCTGGACTAAGCCTGGCTATTCAGATCTGTGTATTCCCACAAGCCAGGGTTGATTGTTCTCGATGCTGCAGCCTAAAGGCAGTGTGGTATAGTGGTTAGTGTGTTGAGCCAGGACACGCAATACCAGGGCATATCATCACTCTGCCATGAAGTTCACTGGGGTGACTGTGAGCTGGTCATTCACCTTCTCAGGCTAGCCTACCTCAAAGAGTTGTGGTGATGATGAAATGGGGAGGGAGAGAACCATGTGTGCCACTTGGAGCTCATTGAGGAAAGGTGGGAAAGAAGTCTAAACAAATATATTGTGGTAGTCCACTAAGTTTTACTCAGAGTAGATCCATTGAAATTAATGGACCTAACTTGGCCATGTTCGTTCATTTAAATGGGTCGACTTTTAAGTAAGATGCCACAAGAAAGGGGATCACGGCTCTTTTGACCTGCTCTCGCCTAAGCAAATTCAAAGTATTTACAGCAGGCTGGGTCAATTTAGAATCTTATTATTGGCTGCCAATTATAGGAGAACAGGATACTGAACTAAATGTGCTTTGGGGCTGATCTTGCATGGGTATTCATATGCTCAAATGGTTGCATTATTTAAACAACAACGGTTCTTTAGTAATAATAATATAATAATAATTTATTATTTATACCCCGCCCATCTGGCTGAGTTTCCCCAGCCACTCTGGGCGGCTCCCAATCAAGTGTTAAAAACAGTACAGCGTTACATATTAAAAACTTCCCTGAACAGGGCTGCCTTGAGATGTCTTCTGAATGTCAGGTAATTGTTTATCTCTTTGACATCTGATGGGAGGGTGTTCCACAGGGCGGGCGCCACTACCGAGAAGGCCCTCTGTCTGGTTCCCTGTAGCCTCACTTCTCGCAATGAGGGAACCGCCAAAAGGCCCTCGGCGCTGGACCTCAGTGTCCGGGCTGAACGATGGGGGTGGAGGCGCTCCTTCAGGTATACAGGACCGAGGCCTTAAGGACTTAAAAACCGATACTGATGTCCCACAATTAAATGTAAAGAGACAACCATATTCTCAAATGACTCTCCTTAGGCTTCAGCACCTTGAAGGCTATATAATTCGATACACAGTTCCTTGGGAGCGAGTCCCATTAAACTCAACGAGACTTAGTGCCAAGCAAATGCACAGAGGTTCAGGCTCTGCTTTCCTTTCCTCCGCAATGAGACAAACAGGATGTGAACCCGTAATAAGTAAGAAACCCAAGTAAGCTCCGAGAAGTCAGCTGCTGCTCCAACATATTGTCAGGGAGGAAAGAATTAAGAGTGCTTAGAAGATGACAGAATGCCCCAGGCTAAAAAATTACTTCAGCCTCTCTCGCATTGCTTCACTTTATCCAAACTTTCTAAGAGTAAACAAAGAGCCTTTAAAATTCCCTTTCCTTTCCTATCGTTGCTGGATCTCGCTGGCGCTGATACAAAGGAATCGGGATTGCTATTAAATATGAACTAATGTCTTTCATTATCGTTTCAAACAACACTTCAAAACAACTCGGCTTGGGCTGACCAAGGTCTCCATGGGACAACTGGGATGGACACCAAGGGCCGTGTCAATGCCATGCATTCCATCTGTTCCTCGGCTAAGCTACTACCCATATAATGGATCTCCTTGTTCCTCCTGGTTTTCATTCGTGCTTGGTTTGGAAAAAGGGAAGTCTGTTTCTGGTGAGGGCAGGGACAGGGTGTTCTGAATGTTGCCAAAAAAAAAAAACCAGAAATGGGTCCAGGGTCTGGGGCCAAGATGTCACCAATCGCATTGTTCTGTTTCACATTTAAATCTTTAAATGCTAGAGAGGCAATGGGGGCACTGAACCTGTGTCTGGGGGACCACTTTGGAGCTGGTTAGGGTGAATAAACAGAAGTCATCCCTGATAAAATGGATTACGTTTGTTGGTTGGGAGTTCTGTTGCACCTGGAAGAAACATTCAGCCTGGGGGTGCATTCCCTCTGAGGATTCAAGGATGTTACCACCTGAATCTGGTGCTGGCCTTGAATATACTGTGTTGGAATTTTTAAATACCTAAGTGGCCAAAGACCCAGCTCGGTACCCCCCCCAACATACATTTGCGTATACACACACACACAAAAACCAACCCCCTCGGTAGCACCCCTGTAGCTACAGCTCAGAATTGGCTTATATTTTAAAGACCTAAAATATTATGGAAATGTCAATTGGTCCAGATCATTGCCCCCAGCTTGTCCATGGGAGGCTCAGTCCAAGGTTAAGGGACCCCTGACCATTAGGTCCAGTCGCGGCACTCATCTTGCTTTATTGGCCGAGGGAGCCGGCATACAGCTTCCGGGTTATGTGGCCAGCATGACTAAGCCGCTTCTGGCGAACCAGAGCAGCACACGGAAACGCCATTTACCTTCCCACCTTCCTTACCTATTTATCTACTTGCACTTTGACGTGCTTTCGAACTGCTAGATTGGCAGAAGCAGGGACCGAGCAACGGGAGCTCACCCCGTCGCGGGGATTCGAACCGCCGACCTTCTGATCGGCAAGTCCTAGGCTCTGTGGTTTAACCCACAGTGCCACCCGTGTCCAAGGTTACCTGTCACTATACCAACATTCCTATAGAGCTACCCAGTCTTAAACCCCACCAGGATGTGGATCTGCTCAACCTGGTCTCACTTGACCCTGCTTTGTGCCCACTGACTCTGCTTGCTGCTGGTCCCTTGCCGATCAGAACCCTCATTCTGCTGGGATTATTACCTGCTGCAAGACAGTGGGTAGGAGTGGTCTAACCAGCTCCATCAGCAGACACCCTGTGCCAGGGCAACACTTGAGCAATGGGGTTTCCTCCCCTCTCTTCCACCTGCACCCACCTCCCCTGCAAAAAAATGGCTCTGGGTGGGTCAGGAGAACCCTAGAACAGTGCGCAGGGAGAAGGTATTGTTCCGCCTGACTAGCCGGAATGTTTGCACAGACGATTGGCAAGAGTGTGATGCTGAATTTCACCCAATGCCTCTGGAAGTATTCCAAGAAGCATCGAAAGGGAAAGACCATAATGCTGGATGGAACGGGAAACATATATAAGGATGGTAGATGTCAAGTGGACACTAGAAGGACAAGAAGTAATAGTCATAGGAAAGCAGCAGATACCTATATAAAGCATGGAAAACTACTTCTAAGACTTCAGTAGGCTGGGTCCATCCAAACTCTTATCAGCAATCATGAGGGACAGCATCATCCTTTTTTCAAAAGCAAATGAATGCCAAAGTGACAGTCTTTGAAACTATCTGGTTCCTGTGGAGCTGCTCCAGTAGAGCTCCGTTATTAATCTGGCCCATGTACAGGAGGCAGGAAAGATGAACAAATCTGGGCAGCAAGAATGGAGGGTTGGGATATGAAAATGTTGCCATTTCTAAAAACAACTAGCCATAAACTGCAGGATGGGAAGCCAAAATAGAGATTTGTCAGCGATGACCTTTCTGAAACATACCATCTATGCTTTCCACTGATAGCTGCAAGCCGAGGTTGTGTTGTGGGTTGACCACCCAGTGATTACTAGTTGCTGTAATATCAAACACTAGCCAGCCTTCTTCTGCAGCCCAAATTGTCCGAGTGTCGAGCAAGTACAAATCTGAATCCCTAGAGAGGGATAAAGAAAAAGGAGAGAAAATCATTAGGATTTTAGGACATATTACTACATTTTATTACATTTAAACAATACTAAAAGCAACCATGGATAAACCATATACAGCAGGAATAGCAGATAGGATGCCCTCTAGATGTTGTTGGGGCTGTAATTCCCTGACCACTTGTCATGCTTACTGGGGTTAAGAGGAAATGGAGTCCAACAACATTGGGTAATCTCTGACCTAAAGGGTAGCACCAAAGAGATGGCATAGGCAAATGAAATAAAAAACCCAAAAGCATTTATGACATTTAGCCCTCCAAAAAATTGCAAAGTTTATAATTTACAGGAAGAAACCACACGCTTTGGTGCCGACTCTGCTGCTTACAGTCAAGTCTGTCTTTATACTGAGGTAGACTCTGGACCACAACACCTCAGGCAGCAGCCAAACAATACCACACATTGCAATCAGCCAAAAAACCCAGGCAGGCAGCAATCACACTAACTCTCTAACGGATACAGACAAAACACACACATACACAGGCTGGCCAACAGATAATGCATAAAAAGAACATATTTAAAGAATACTAAGCTGCAATTCTTTCTTGGGGTAAAAGGTAAAGGTAAAGGACCCCTGGACCATTAAGTCCAGTCAAAGGCGACTATGGGGTTGTGGCGCTCACCTTGCTTAGGGCCGAGGGAGCCGGCGTTTGTCCACAGACAGCTTTACAGCTCATGTGGCCAGCACGACCAAACCGCTACTGGTGCCCGGAGGACTGTGACAAGTGCCAGAGCGCACGGAAACACAGTTTACCTTCCCACCACAGTGGTACCTATTTATCTACTTGCACTGGCATGCTTTTGAACTGCTTGGTTGGCAGGAGCTGGATAGAGATATATAAGACTGTACTGTAAGTAAACAAATTATATAGAACTGATAGAACTATTGTTTCATTTGAATGCGACATTTAAACCATACATCTGCTTTATTCAAGCAAATGCAGAGCTTTACTTGAAAATTATTCTTACTGGGATGCTTGTAAATATTTTAAGACAGGATAGCCTAAGGCATACGCTTTCCTCACGCAGTTTAGATTTTAAGTGAGTGGGGTGGAGAGAGAAGGTACTGAGAACTGTTCACGTGTGCCCCCAAATAAAGAATGGCTTCCAAGCAGTCTTCAAACCCAGCCCTACTTCAGGACGCTTTGTAATTTTAAGGTTTCAGTGACATCCTGTTGCATGTTGTTCTGTTGCATTCCACAGAACAAATACTGCAAACAGAGGTTTCATATCAACCAACATTTGCCTTCAGAAGACAATACTTCACAACTAAGAAAGGAGGGAGCTCATCTGAAAGTTATCAAGTGATGTCCGCGCACGTGTGAATCGTTGCTCAATTTATGCATCAGCATAAAGGACCATCTCACCCCTTGTATGCTGAGCCAATCGCTACAGTCTGCAAGAAAGGGCATCTGGAAGGTGCCATCTTACCAGGAGGTCCATTCCACATGATGTCGGAATCGGGCCATCAGTGTGGCAGCACCACCCGTTTGAAACTCCCTCATGTTACATCTCAGAAAGGCAACATCTTTATTGGCTTATGGCATCTGTTGAAGACCTTCCTTTTTCAACAGTTAGAGAAGGACTGTATTTACTTGAGTCTAATGCACCATTGAGTCTAACATGCACCTCAATTTTCAGAACCTTGAAACCCAAAAAAGTATTTGCTGGTGAATGTAAATGTGCCACTAAATCTAATGCGCATCTTAATTTTCGCAACAAAATTTGTCCAAAAAAGGGGAACGTTAGAGTCAAGTAAATGCAGTATATTCTAGTTAGAATCTGTAGGAGATGTGAAATTATATCTATCTATCTATATCTATATGCACAGGCAACCCCCAATTTGTGGGGGGGGCCTGCATTCTGGGTCATTGCACATGATAGCAGAGTGCACATAAGCCTGCTCTGCCCCTCCTATTCCAGCTTTTCTGGCCACTTCCAGGTTGCTGCGATGCGCACGTGCATGAGCATAAATCAGTTGTTGCCTCTAATTGTTTTAACTGTTTTTAAATATTTGCAATTCTTTTTAATTTTTTTATATACAGTGGTATCTCGGGTTACATACGCTTCAGGTTACATACACTTCAGGTTACAGACTCCGCTAACCCAGAAATAGTGCTTCAGGTTAAGAACTTTGCTTCAGGATGAGAACAGAAATCGTGTTCTGGCGGCGCGGCGGCAGCAGGAGGCCCCATTAGCTAAAGTGGTGCTTCAGGTTAAGAACAGTTTCAGGTTAAGAACAGACCTCCGGAACGAATTAAGTTCTTAACCCGAGGTACCACTGTACACAATTTTTATATATGTTTTATTGTGTTGGGAAACTGCTTTGAGATGCTTCATAAGAAGCAATGCATAAATGAAAACATCATAATATGTAATCATAATATACAATCCTTTTTTATGGGGAAATGTTACTAGAAGGTGGTATTTCTTCATTCTTTTATCTATGGTTCCTACAAGAGCTTTTCCCGTCTTGCAAACACGCACACTGTGATATTGCAATATGATCATGAGAAATAAAACACGTTCAGCGTTGAATTGCAACTTATGCCATTTATAGGATTGCATTTGCAAAGACAAGTAAACATAGGATGATATAGAGGAGAGATGTCACCCCTGCTAATAAACTGAGCATCTCAGGGGCTGAACGGGAGAGGCAGAGCAACAATGCAACCTGTGAACACACAACCACATGCACTTACTTTCAGACGTCTGGTCCAACTATAAAAGGTTCCATATAAATATACTGCTCTTAGAGCTAATATATGCCAATCTTGCACAAACAACCACAACATCTATGTTTATACTACTAGCCCAGATATTGTGGCTGTTTGTGCAAGCTTGGTAATTGGATATGCAAACACGGCACCTTCAATTTCGGTCTGTTTTGCTGACTCTCATGTATCATCTTGCCAAACATCTTGTGCACACTTTGCATAGATATTTGTGTAACTAATTACTTTGCGATCATTCCAACAGAGGCAAAGATGAGACCAGCTGTGTGTTCATGAGACAGCCTTTAGAACCCAGGAAGCTGTTGGACCACTGACTGGCAGCAGCTCCCCAAGTTTTCAGACCCAGGACTCTCCCAGCCCTACCTGGAGCTGCTGGGGTTTGAGCCTGGGACCTTCTACATGCAAAGAAGATGCTCTACCAATAGGCCATTGGAGGGTGGCACTCCCTGTCTTTCTGGGATAACATTGTGGCAAGGGGGAGCCCCCCCATCCTGTTCCCGTGTGTCGCTTCCATGCCCCCTGCCAGAAATAACTCTGCTCCAAATGCCAGTTGCTAGGGGACTGAAGAAGCAACGAGAAAGGACACTCTGGCCCCATGCACCAGCCAAAGAAACAAGACCTCACTAATAATAATATTGATCCTGCCCATCTGGCCAGGTCTCCTCAGCCTCTCTGGGCCGCTCCCAACCGAATACTAAAAACATGATAAAACATCAAACATTAAAAACTTCCCTGAACAGGGCTGCCTTCAGATGTTTTCTAAAAGTCAGGTAGTTGTTTATTTCCTTGACATCTGATGGGAGGGCATTCCACAGGGTGGGTGCCACTACCGAGAAGGCCCTCTGCCTGGTTCCCTGTAACCTCACTTCTCACAGTGAGGGAACTGCCAGAAGGCCCTCGGAGCTGGACCTCAGTGTCCGAGATGAACAATGGGGGTGGAGACTCTCCTTCAGGTATACTGGGCCGATCTTACCCTTTCCTGAATCATGGAACCAACTGCTACTCAGGCAAGAACAACCCACAAAGGGCAATCAGCCTGACTGAATATAAATGTTTGTAGCTCATCACTTTGTTCCAGCTTCAAAGAGCTGAATCTCCCTCCTCTACCTTCTTCCCGACTTTCCTTTTCCATTGTGGGTTTTGCCTGTTTAGTTTGTAAACCTGATGGCAGGACTCTTTTTCATTATAGCTATATCACTATATAGCTTCTGGTGTATGCTGAAGACGCACCTCTTTGCCCTGGCTTTTGTCAAGAGGTGTCTATTTTTAGGACCCATCTTATTGTTTGTTTTGAACTGTTTTTGCTATTGTGTTTTAATATTATGTTACCCACCCTGGGACCTTTGGGTGAAGGGCTGGTAAATTAATAAATAATAATAATAATAGTGGTGGTAGTAGTAGTAGTAAATGTGGTGAGCCACTTTAGGAGACAATAACTGTTAAATAGTGGGTAGACATAGCAGACGACGCAGCGATTCTTCAAACAGCTCTTGTTTATTCACAGGCCATTCACAAGAGAACTGAACTGAAGGGCTCAGTCAGCCTGCTTTTATAGAGCTCCAGTACCACGTTACTGTAACAACTTTCTAAAACTATCCAATCACTGAACGTCACTTTCGATCCTTCATTTGCATAACTATCTACAGTATCCCCCTGCTGGCCCAGGGTGAGAACTTCAGTACATAACAATAACTATCTGAAAAGAGTTATAAATGTATACCTCTTATTTAATGGTTTAATTATTTAACTATTTAAATGTGTACCTCTTGTTTGTGAAATGCCTAAAAACTGAATAAAAAATTAGGCTCTGAACAAAAACAGAACCTGCCCAACAGACCAAGATTTCAACTTAGTAAAAACTGTGCATCTGATCTACGATACTTGAGATACATATTTTAGGACCAATAGCAGTCTGCATGGCAGGTCAGCATTGCTTCAGGAAGGAGCCCCAGGAAGGAGAGGGGTAAGGTTAGCACGGTGCAAACACACTAGTAGGAGCCCTAGATTTACTCCGCTGACAGTGTTTGCACTGTGCCAGTCTCCTTACCCTCCTCGCCTTCACTTTCTCAGTAATCAGCAGGAGCAACACGGCTGTGAGGAGGTCAAGTGAGCACTGCTGTCCCACCGTTGCCATCCGCTACTCCTGAGGACGCATCATACGCTTTAAACTTTTTAAATATTATATTTCGAAACTGTTGCTCACCCCAATACCCTGGAACCTTATGGTAAAGGCCAGACAGGCAACAAATAAATGAACAAAACCATTAAATAAATAATCACATAAAAGGAGGATGTGACTGTGTTAGCTCCACACACATTTGCATGATCCTGTCCATCATTCTCCACGAGTTGCAGGATGATTGCATGGAGCAGGGATAACCCCCTGCACTTGTGGAGGTTCCCTGCATGTTCTAGAACCCCAGAAAAATCACATTGATGTGGCACCAGAACACCTGCAGAGGGCTTTAAAAGTTAAACTGAAGGAGGTGGAGGTGGAGCAGAATTAGAAATCAGCAAGCCAAAACGCACAAAATGAAATAAATGAGTTTCAAAGCATTTAAGAGAAAGAAGCAGAATAACACAAACAAAAAATAATTGGCAAAGTCCCATAAAGTGGCAGAAGATTAAAAAGCATGAAAATGCAAGAGAGGAAGAGATATGGTGCTGAACTAGCAAGGAACAAACAGAAGAATATAAAGACCTGCAGAAGAATAGAGAGGAGGAGAGCATTCCTAGAATCTTAGAATTGTAGAGCTGGAAGGGACCCTAAGGATCATCTAGCCCAACCCCCTGCAATGCAGGAATATGCAGTTGTCCCATATGGGGATCAAACCTGCGACCTTGATGTTATCAGTACCATGATCTAACCAACTGAGCTATGCAGAGGAATAGTTAGTTGGTGGTCTCTGATTATAATTTTTATGTGTTTTTATTATATATATAGATACTGCTGCAAACAGCTTTGAGTTTTTTATGATATAAAGGTAAAGGGACCCCTGACCATTAGGTCCAGTCGTGGCCGACTCTGGGGTTGCGGCGCTCATCTTGCTTTATTGGCCGAGGGAGCCGGCGTACAGCATGACTAAGCCACTTCTGGCAAACCAGAGCAGCGCACGGAAACACCGTTTACCTTCCCGCCGGAGTGGTACCTATTTATTTACTTGCGTATTTTCGAACGTATTTATCTACTTGCGTATTTTCGACGTATTTTCGAACTGCTAGGTTGGCAGTATAAATATCTTTATAAATAAAATATTTTTATAAATAAAATATAATTGTTGATGGGGAAGACTTGCAATCAAGAAAGATCCTAGGGGTTAATAGGGCTCAAGAGCAGATAGCATTGGGCTGGTTGGAAAAACAGCTTGACCCGTCGCTATAAGGCACCTTTTGAGGTTGCTTGAGACACACTTTGTAAGCCCAGGCCCCAGAGTTCCCTTTCCCCCTTATAAAAGGCCAGCCTGGGAAACAGACAATGCTTTTGAGGCCTCCCTCTACTGGTTTGCATCAAGGAGACCACACAACTTGTTCGCCAGGTTTCTGCCACTGAAACGCATCCTGGGGCTTTCAAGTCATAACCAACATCTGACCGAAGGACTCCCACAGGAAGCAGGGATGAGAAAGCATTGCTCTTGGACTCAAACACCAGCAACTGATGTGGAATTTCCAGAGGTGAAAGGCTCTCATGCTTCCTTTACTGCTTGACTCATCTCCTTCACCCACAAACCACGATTCACGGAAGTTTAAAGGGGGGGGGAGAGAAACGGGGAGAAAAGCAGCCACTTCTTGAAAGCTACTGCTTTTTATTATTAAACCTACACAGGGGAAAAAATTCCAGCCTTTAAGAAAGAAAAGCTCCCATGCTGACATGACGCATGTCACTGCACGCCGTGAGTCAGCCTGGGAAATTGTATAATGCGTTTGTTTTCCTGTAGTTAGTTATAGTCCTGGGCAAACAGCAGGCCTGGAGGGGGAAACCCTCAGTGAGAGAGATCAAAGGGAGTCCTCCTTACCATATGCACACACTTTTGGAACTTTCCTACCCTGGTGACCAATAATTTTACTCTACAGCAATAATGGATTAGCGCTCCCTGCTCTAGCCTCCAAAGAGTGGGACCGAGTGCTGGAAGACGAGCATCCGCGATCACGAAACTCCTTCCAAGCTAAACAACTCACTTCTTCCATCATCCTTTTTCGTCAAGGAAAACACCAACCAAACTCAATTTGTTATTCATCCGGTTTCCTAAATGCAGAAGGCGCAATGCAAAATAAAATCAAAGGGCATGCCAATCAATCAGTTACGCCGTACGAAAGTCACATTAAGTCAAAGGGGAAGGAAGGTTCCTCGTCCCGTTTCGCAACGAACGCTGAGCAGCGTCGGGCAACTGGCAAGATTGGAGTCAGGATCCAGCCCGTGCTTTCCGAGCCTCCAACCAAGCCTGGTGCAAATGTGTGCATGAAAAGGCTTTGGGCCAGGTCTCGAGGAGGGTCTCTCTAGTATCTGGCCTAATAAGCCCTCTTTGAGTGCTCAGCTATAAGATATAACAGCAGTGTCTGTGCAGTTGGGTCAAGCCAGACACCTGTGAAAACAGAGCCACTCATCAGTCTTACTGTTCACTCGAGTCCAAGGCATCTCTCCCAGCCTGCCTTCAGCCAGCCTGCCCAAGATGGATCTCTCTTTCTCTTTTTTCTCCCTTCTTCTTCCCAGCACACCTAGTTAAAAACACTCTTTTCCTGTCAGCTCACACCCAGTTACCCTAGCAACCTTCCAAATCTCCCGTCTCTGTTCACACCTCAGGGCAGCAGGGAAGGGCAGTTCTCTTGCATTCCCCGTGGCCCTCAGTTAATGTCCTGGTCGGTTTTTTTGCATAGGCTAGCCCAGGAATTCCTCTGCATGTTATATTTCTCTCTTCACATTTCAAATAATCAAAATCTTTCTATTCTAATCTTTCTGCCAGGTCCACAAACTGGCACAACATACATCGAAATATGTCAATCCTTGATTCTTAGACCAAGGCTGAGTTCACCCTATGTGTGCTTCTCAGCTGCCACCTTAAGGGATAGTTTGCATGTGTGAAACAGCCATTGTGGATCAACAACCATCACAGACAGAGCTTTCAAATTGCTTTGCATCTTCTCAAACAATGACAGTCTGAAAAGGTTGAGTTTACACATTCAGATATGAGAATTATGGGATGAGATGCCACGCAATTGTTCCAGCCACTTGCGCAATTATTGGCTCTTGTCTTTTCTCTCTCTCTCTCTCTCTCTCTCACACACACACACACACATACACCCAGCTCAGGCTGGGGTCTTTCCTCAGTCACTCACCTTCCTGGGTGTTCCTGGAGGACCTGGTAGACACTGATCTGGAATGTTTCATTATCAAAACGTTCTCGGATATAGTCCTTGTAAATCCGAAACTCAGCAGCAGTCACTGTTTCACCCTCGGGGATTCTGGAGAGGTCAAACCGGAACTCGCGGCGATGGCTGCGCTGGTGATAGAACTCCTTGTCATGCTCCACTGCAAAAACAAAACACACACTTAATGGCACCCGTACTTTTTGGGTGAACCATAAAACATCCTACTTCTATATGAGCAGAGTGGTATATTTCTGAATGTGGACACAGACAATGGGGGAGGGCACAGTAGGGTATGGTTGGGTAGGGATTCTACCAACAGTATAGAGACCCACTACTCTTGCAGAAAAATATTTAAGAAGATGCACGTCTGGTGTACAGACATGCTGGCTGTACGAGGAGTGTGCACTCCAGCTCTCCAGCAGTCTTAAGAAACTGAGATATGAAAGCTAGGAGCTAAATGGCACCTTAAACCTAGGTTATAGGCACTACAATGGAATTTCTAGGCGTGCTTTTTTAATAACAAGAATACAAAGCTGAAAAAGAATGAACTGCAGTTAAAACCTTATATTCATTTTTCACATGGTCTAGTCCTCATCTAAGACTGCAAAAAAAACCAAAGCCATACTTTTTTTTTTAAATGATATTTATTAAAGTTTCACAAAAATACAGAAAACAAAGAAAAAAGTATAAATTACAGCAAAAAAACAAAAAGTAAGAAAAAACATACAAAATAAAACAGTTAAAAACACACTAATGTTCCATAACCTATCTTCCTTACTCTTATTTCCCCAGACCTCCTCGTACCTCCCTTCTTTGTATTCCAATTCAGTTTGTTGGTTCAGCAAATCCTTACCATTAATCTTTTACCCAATTGTTAACCTTTTTTTTTTTCCATGCCTCTTAAAGCATTACAGCTAAAAACCTCTTAATTTCTATCCAGCATCCTTCTAAAGTTCCTTAATTTTACAATATTTCTGTAAATAGTCCTTAAATTTTTTCCAGTCTTCTTTCACCGACTCTTCTCCCTGGTCTCGGATTCTGCCAGTCATTTCCGCCAATTCCATAAAAACCAAAGCCATACTTCCCCTGCCTGCCCCCATAATATGAGGGTCCCTTCTCCAGTAGTCAGAGAGTGGCTGGAAGTAGGGAGGCAGTGGCCGTTTTAATGTGAAACCTTAGGTGCAATACTGCTCCCAGAGCTCAGAAACTGCTTGCATTAATGAAATTCCCTGTCCCAAAAAGTGCCTAGAACAATGGAAACGCTGCTCTCCAGCCTGCATAGAAGTCGGCACATCTCTTTAAGCACCAGTAAGATACATTCAGTACATGGGAATATAGTTACCAACCGGTCTACCACCCATAGGAAGTCTTATGCTCAACTTGTAGAGGCTCCCCACATGATTTAGAACCCTGGAGGGTGATTAGAAGAAGTTGCCCACTTCAAATTTCTCCACCAACCTAGATGGCTTTAAAAGAGGACTGGACCAATTCATGGAGGAGAGGCCTGTCAAAGGCTACTTGATGTCTCCGCTCTGCTCCTCACAGTTGGAGGCAGTAGTGCTTCTGAATACCAGCTGCAGGAAACCACAGGAGGATGGAGGGCTCCTGAGCTTGTGTCCAGCTTGTGGGTTTTCCACTGGCATCTGGTGCTGGGCTAAGTGGGCCATTGGCTTAATCCAACAGGCTCTCACTGAGAGCAACAGGCATAGTGAAACAGAGGGAAGCTCCCCACCTTTTCACATGAGCAGACACCCAAACAAAGGAATCCAATTTAGATGGTATGTCCCATGGAGGACCTTACGGTCTTCAAACAAAACACCTTGGAGGTCCCGGGCCACAGAGAAGTTAGGCTGGCCTCAACCAGAGCCATGGCTTTTTTGGCTGTGGCTCCGGTCTGGTGAAACGCTCTGTCACAAGAGACTAGGGCCCTGCGGGACTTGACATCTTTCCGCAGGGCCTGCAAGACAGAGCTGTTCCACCTGGCCTTTGGCCAAGACACAGCCTGACCCCCTCCTTTAGTAATTCTTCACAGAACTCTAGCCCAATGGTTGCCATTAATTTGATTTGAACTGATTTTATAATGAATTGATTTTAGAATGCTGTATTATTTTACTGTTGTTAGCCGCTCTGAGCCCAGCTTTGGCTGGGGAAGGCGGGATATAAATAATAATAATTATTATTATTATTATTATTATTATTATTATTATTTTGCCAAGGCACAGGTATCAATGTATGACTAGGTTGCTTTTACCCAGGAGGGGGCAAAGCTGGAGCACCAACCAGAATTGATAAAAAGCACATCTGGGCACAGATGCCCCAGGGCTGCACCTAAACAGCTCTCCCGGGCTGTGAAATTGAACGCAACCCCATCAAGAGCAGGCCAAGCACAGCCTCTGAAGTCAAATGAATCAAGGACCATCAGCACTTCCAGCCTGTCTGGACTGAGTTTGCTCGTTAGTTTCATCCACATGCACATTAATGGCTCCAGGTGCATCTGAGTAAGAATTACTTACTGACACAGACATCCGCCTGCTGTCCAAACACCTTTATAAGGATCATGGAGTTACTGAAGAGGCAAGGAAGCAAGTGCTAGACAGCAGACTGAGGTAAGGAACAAGTGCTAAGAACAAACAGAAATATATGCCTAACGAGCCTGTCTTTTAGCAGGGCTGCCATGGGCAGCTGCATGACCTCTGTGACTCATGTACCAGGGTCCGTTGCTCCCAATGACCCTATAATAGTTGAGTCACCCTTCAGCGGTGGTAAACTTGAAGGGCACATTACAGATCTTAGTAATACCTTTGAATCATCTGACGTTGGCTCTGTGGCTGTCTAGTTCCCATCCTCTGCAAAGGATACTCGCACAGAATAAAAGCTTATCGCGAGCATCAGCCTCTCTAATGAAGAGTTAGCTGGACTCATTTATTCAAGGCTAAATTAACCATTATGTAAACATGCCATAGGATGGCACCAACATCTCTCAGTTACAACCCTTACAGTTTGCTTCTTATCATTTCATGGATCTTGTTGTTTCTGCCTCTTGGCTGTGCAGTCTGCTCCTGAGAACCTTCATAGGAACATAGGAAGCTGCCATATACACACAGTCAGCCCATGGCTCCATCTAGTTTAGTATTGTCTACACTGACTGGCAGCACCTCTCCAGGGTTTCAGGCAGGGGTCTCTCCCAGCCCCAGTTGGAAATGTGAGCAATTGACCCTGGGACCTTCTGTACCCAAAGGTGATGCTCTGCTACTGAGCTACAGCCCTTCCCTCCATGTTGCACCCCTACATACATTAAATATCACTTTCTCCCTCCCATAGTAACAGGTTTGCATTTTCACTGTCCCCCACCCCGCAAATCACCACCACCTTTTGTTTGCTCTGCATTTGCAAAAAGAAAAAAAAAACCCAAACGTTTTATTTTCTTTATTAAAATATTTCTAATCAGCCTTTCCACTGCAAAAATGGACTGCACCCCACCCGTCCCACCAAGGCAGCTAACAGTTAAATCATAAAACCCAACAAAATATCATGCCATTAAACTGAATTAAAAACAGCAGCAAATGCAGAACAGCCTAAAAGGCCGCAATGGCTCGCATGACAAAAACAAAGGGAAAGAAAATGGCCAACATGTGCTTCCTTCATCCATGGATGTGCAAAATTAGACTTAAAAAGCAAAAGGTCAGAGGTCTATGGCTGCGCCATTCCAGGCAGTCTTTTTCTGTTAACTGGGTGTACTTGTTACTTGTTTGTTACGGAGAATGCAACTGTTCTTCCTCCAAGCTGTGCTTGATGAAGTTTACACATTCTAACCACAGAGCTTTGTTGCTGGGCTGATATACCTCTCTTCCCATCCACCCCGACACAACCTCGGCCACAGCTGTGGAGCAGTGTCTGAAATGGGGCTGCGAGTCTCTGGCACCACCAGGTCATTGCCTGGGCATCGTCACTGAGATCTCCGACCTTCCCTCATGCCAGTGCCACTTTCAACAGTACTTTCAAAGGTGTGATTATAAATTACTGTTCTTGTTTGAAGTCTATCAGACGGGTTGCCCTCAAACCAAGCCACTAATGGCTAGGTTCTAGCTCCACTGTCGGAGACGGTTTGCTTCTGAATCGTAGTTGCTAGAAACGCTTCCAAAGCCTTGCTCCTGTTTTTAGGAATGGTGGCATTAAAAAAAACCCCAACCTAATAAGGGAATGATCTATTCTCACCATAGAGGCAGAAGTGTACATGGATGAGCCGGTCTCTCCACCTCAACTTGGAACATGAGTAACCTGCATTGTGTAGAGATGGAAGACCAACTGAAGATGAACAGCTTTTCTGTTTCCTGTAAATGCCCACCGTGCTCCTTAACGCTGAAGGGGAGCAGGGGAAGAGCCCTATATAAAACTGCAGCCAAACTGGAACTAGATCAAATTGCTAATAATTTTTTGTTGGCTTCAAAACTGATCACCCTGCTGCCCCAGATAACAGGGGGAAAACAACAACAGAAAAGTAAACCTATTCCTATCTTTTAATTGCACATTTCTAGAAGTAGGGCAGGTTTCATTTGTGACAGTAACTCTGGAATAAGCAACATGAAGGAACAAGATGTGGTCACCAACTTTGAAACCATCTTAAAAAGCAGAGACATCACCTTGCCAACAAAGGCCCGTAATGATGTATGGAAGTAAGAGCTGGACCATAAAGAAGGCTGATCTCCGAAGAATTGATGCTTTTGAATTATGGTGTTGTTGGGAAAGACTGAGGGAACAAGGAGAAGGGGACGACAGAGGACGAGATGGTTGGATAGTGTTCTCGAAGCTACCAGCATGAGTTTGACCAAACTGCGGGAGGCAGTGGAAGACAGGAGTGCCTGGCGTGCTCTGGTCCACGGGGTCACAAAGAGTCGGACACGACTAAACTACTAAACAACAACAACAAGGGGCTAAGACAAGTCCATGGGAGGTAATGCAATCCATGACTCCCAGTCGCAAGGCCTACCTACATGCTGCCTCCAAGTTCAAAGGCAGCAAGCAAACCAGTGCTACTGTGCAGTCATGCTCCTGCCTCTGGGCGACCTATAGGTTTCTGGTTGGCTAATCCTGCACCAGATAGGCCTTTGGGTATGATCCAATAAGGCTCTTCTCAAGGGCAAGGATGCAACCTTATCCATGCGGCATCAGATCATCATTAAACAAGGTAATCATTTTTTTAAAAATGATGCAACCATTTGCATGAACATGCAGATGGCATGAAGAGGAAAAACACGTTAGGCTTCAGAATAGCTGCCTCCCTTCCCCTGCTCAGCTTCCCTCACCCCATTCTTTAATTTGACTCAGGACGTATTGCTCAAAGAACTTTCAGGATGCAACTCTCAATTGTACCACTTGCATGTACCCACGGGAAAACTTCTTATCGTACTCTCCTGCCAGCTTTCCCGTCTGCTAAAGCAGCAACACCAATTTACAGGCAGGGCTGGGAAGATTCATTATTAAAGCCTTTGAAGATTAAATGAGCTATGCACAATGCAAGCACATTTTTATTCAAAGTGAAATGGCCTCACCAGTTTCCTCCCAGCTATTCCCAGAAAACAAATATCCCACAGCTAAATTGACATAGGAAGCTGCCTTTTAGAAGGTCGTAACATTCGTCTGCCTGGCCTGGTACTGTCAACTCTGTCTGGTAGCAGCTCAGACTAGGACAGCCATGTGCCTTCCTTCACAGAGGACTATCCTCTATTTGAAGGCATCCTCTATCTGCTCAGTCCATGTTGCATTTTAAAGAAATGCTCCCCCCCCAAAAAAAATAAACAAACCCCAGAAAGGGAGCACAAAGGGCTTTGAACTTGCCCATAAATACCATATTTTTTGCTGTAAAAGACTTACTTTTTCCCTCCTAAAAAGTAAGGGGAAATGTGTGTGCATCTTATGGAGCGAATGCAGGCTGCGCAGCTATCACAGAAGCCAGAACAGCAAGAGGGAGATTCTGAGATTCAGAATATATATTTTTTCTTGTTTTCCTCCTCCAAAAACTAGGTGCGTCTTATGGTCTGGTGCGTCTTATAGAGTGAAAAATATGGTAGTTAGCACCTGGGCAGCTGGGCAACTAACTTAGCAGGCAACCGCTCACCTGCTCTGTGACCTGCCCCCCGCTGTGGTAAGAACATACAAGAGACCCATGCTGAATCAGGCCAGTGGCCCATCTACACAGTATCCTGTTCTCACAGTAGCCAGCTAGATGCATGTAGGAAGTCAACAAACAGGACCCGAGTTCAGCAGCATTCTTCCCAACCAAGAAACTAGTGTTCAGAGCTTTCACCTCCATGAGTTTTGTCCAATCCTCTTTTTAACCCATCCAATTCATGGTAAGATGTATTGCAATTTTATTTAAATGTGCACAAACACACACACACACACACACGTTTATGCAAATCTGTGCCCTCTATTTGGTGTGGTGCATTTTCTTTCTTTCTTTTTTTGGCGGATGCAAAAACAGGCTCCAAGTTCCCCTGCCATCCAAAGTAAGGTGGCTGGTGACCAGAGACAGGGTCTTGTCAGTCACAGCACCCTTCCCAGAGAAATTCACTTCCAGCTTTCTTTCAAGTGCCATGGGAAATACAGTGGTACCTCAGGTTACAGACACTTCAGGTTACATATGCTTCAGGTTACAGACTCCGCTAACCCAGAAATAGTACCTCGGGTTAAGAACTTTGCTTCAGGATGAGAACAGAAATTGCGCAGCAGCGGCAGGAGGCCCCATTAGCTAAAGTGGTACCTCAAGTTAAGATCAGTTTCAGGTTGAGAACAGACCTCCAGAACGAATTAAGTTCTTAATCCGAGGTACCACTATACCTTCATTTGCCCAGGGATTTTTATCTGCCTGAATTTAGAGAGGTGGTTTTCGACTTATTGCTGCGGACTTCCAGGACACTTGACCTGGGGGCCATCAACATCCATGGGCCTGCCTCGTTTATGTCATCAGAACGACAACTGCATTGGGATGAATGGTGAGATACTCTGTTCTCAGCTGTGCAAAGAAAATTTTTATATATGGCAAATATTGTTAATTACTTGGCACACGAATTGTAAACAGTTATCCTGGCCTGTCTGCTAATGACACCTTCTTGACATTTAAACAGAACGTTTTAATGTGCAAAGCCCTTTTTGGTTTTGGGTCATGGTCCAATGAGATGATTAATGTGCTCCTATTCATGTGTAACAGCCCAGCTTCCCAGCAGCCCTCCCTCATACTGCACAATGCTGTTTCAATTCAGTGGCATTTGAAATACAGATTATGGCAGAGCGAGGGGGAATCCTCCATGCGAAATTATGCTATAAATTCCGTGTATGCCTCGGGATGACAGATCGTCTCTTGCTCATACTTACAACCAACCTGTGAGACAGATCGCTATTATTCCTAGCTGTTGACTTCTGCGTAGGCCTGGCTGAACGTCAAAAATCCATTTTCATAACATATTTTGGTAGTTGCTGGTACGATCCGTCATGAGCAATTATATGTAGGCACAGAAAGTCTAGGCTGCTAATGACTAGACAGCTTCCTAATTGCAAAACATTTGGAACTGGCTCGTAAATAAGCCCACAATAACTGTTGGCCTGTAAACAATTGCAGTGCTTCACCTGTTCTTGCATACCTAGTTCAGGCATTAGAATCTTTAATTCAATTTTATTTTTTAAAGCTACTTTTCTGGCTACTTGGAGGTGACCCGTTTAAGCTACACGCAACGTTTGCAAACCGGGCTCAGGGCTACCGGGTCACACAAAAAAACCCCACACGTTGCTATTCTTGCTAAGCATGTTCCAACTGGCGCTGCAGTTGTTTACTACAGGTTTGTTAGGTGCCTGGGGCCAGGGGAGAGCTGAACCCAGCGGTCAGACTCTGGCGCCTTGGCTTCTGCACCATGAGCTTTTGTTGTTTAGTTGTTTAGTCGTGTCCGACTCTTCGTGACCCCCTGGACCAGAGCACGCCAGGCACTTCTGTCCTCCACTGCCTCCCGCAGTTTGGTCAAACTCATGCTGGTGGCTTCGAGAACACCATCCAACCATCTCGTCCTCTGTCGTCCCCTTCTCCTTGTGCCCTCCATCTTTCCCAACATCAGGGTCTTTTCCAGGGAGTCTTCTCTTCTCATGAGGTGGCCAAGGTATTGGAGCCTCAGCTTCAGGATCTGTCCTTCCAGTGAGCACTCAGGGCTGATTTCCTTCAGAATGGAGAGGTTTGATCTTCTTGCAGTTCATGGGACTCTCAAGAGTCTCCCTCCAGCAACCATAATTCAAAAGCATCAATTCTTCGGCGATCAGCCTTCTTTATGGTCCAGCTCTCACTTCCATACGTCACTACTGGGAGAACCATAGCTTTTACTATACAGACCTTTGTTGGCAAGCTGATGTCTCTACTTTTTAAGATGCTGTCTAGGTTTGCACCCTGCTCCAAATGCAAACCTATCAGATCTTCGCTTCATGGGTGCCATCTAGGCTGTGGTGCCAGCAGGAGAGGCTGGGGTGGTGAGGTGGAGCTGAGGAGTTACACACACACACAAACCAGCAACAACAGCACTACAGGTTACCTGGATGGGTCAGGGCCAGGATGGCAATGAGGCTGTACCAGCATTGTGGTGAGGTTGGCACTGGCAGAGCCAAATGAGCACTCTTGTGGGTACAGCCTCAACCTCGCTGCTGGCCACCCCATCCTTTTCTGTTGTTTGAACACAAAGCTCCTGCTGTCTCTGATTGCTGAATATGACTCTGGGACACAACTGCTGTTGTGTTTTAACTCTCCACCTGCACTAGGGATGGAGGAGAATCCTGTTCGGGACACAGTTTTCAGCAAGCCAGCTGCACTTGCTTCTTTGTAATTATTCAGATTTCACTTCTGCAAATTTTGCGATACAGTTCTTGGCTCAAAAGATGTACCCAATGCCTTTTAATTTTGAATAAAGTACAGTGGTGCCCCGCAAGACGAATGCCTCGCAAGACGAAAAACTCGCTAGACGAAAGAGTTTTCCGTTTTTTGAGTTGTTCCGCAAGACGAATTTCCCTATGGGCTTGCTTCGCAAGACGAAACGTCTTGCGAGTTCTTGCGAGTTTGTTTCCTTTTTCTTAAAGCCGCTAAGCCGTTAATAGCCGCTGAGCCGTTAATAGCTGCTAAGCCGCTAATAGCCATGCTTCGCAAGACGAAGAAACCGCAAGACGAAGAGACCCGCGGAACGGATTAATTTCGTCTTGCGAGGCACCACTGTATTACTGGAAATAACTGGCTGGGCTGAGGATTAGCTTACCTGTGTGGTTGGTGAGAATGCAGAAGAGAGTCTCTTGGATGTGGGGACAAATCTCGGAGAGCCTACCGTGTTGAGCAAGGGGAAGTGGGGGTGCAGCTTCTACCTTAGTTATTTTGTTTAGTTATTAATGATGCCTTTTGTGGAGTTCATTGTATTTTTGAATTTGATTTTTTTTTATGCATTTCATATTTAAGAGGAAATTTTGTTCTCTGGTTAATTATGCTGCTGTAAATGTGAGCTTTATATTTGACCTTCATCTGTAAAGTTTTAATTTGATTTTTTTGTAACGCTTTGTTTGATACTTAAATTCAGTGATTTTCTTCTGGGGGGATGCAGGGGTAAGCATACCCCTAAACATTTTGTGAATCATTGTACTTTTGTCCATTTTCTGTATTTATTTTTCCTGATTTGAACTATAAAATGGTGATTTTCTTGGGTCAAAATGAGAGTACCCCTAAACATTTTTTGGAGGGGGGGAAGCACTGCTTAAATTTAAGGTTGGAAATAGAGAGACATAGAGGTATAGAAGAGATTTTTTTGAAATAATACACACATTAAAATGTGCATTCTGTGACAAAATATTTAAACACAGACTTTTGTGGACATTTTTGTTTTTTTTTAAAATCAGAGATTAATGTGGAACCAAGTCAGAAAAAAATTGCAATTGAACACAAGCAAAATTGACATGGACTGGATCCGTCCATTCCTAAACTATATCCTTTGGATTCATGGTCGGTTCCTCATGTCCAGCCTTAGGACATGACTGCCTGCAGCCAGAGACTAGCTGAAGCCTGTGACAAAAATTTATACGAAATCACAGGATTAAATTATTAAATCCAATGTGGTATAAATTATGATAGCCAATCCAGGAATAGATCACTTTTCGTATTTTGTTTTCCAGCAAGAATCTCCCATGAATCCTCACTTTCCTGGGACATAGTAAAAAGGCACATTGGGGCATCACAGGGGTCAGCAACTACTAATCCACCAATTAATGAGGATGTAAGTGGATATGTAAAACTGAAAGAGAAGAAGGGAAAGGAACAGACAATGCAGATAGGTTCAAAATAATTACTTCTGGGAGTAATTATGCAAGTTTTAGGACGGATGGGAAAAAGGAGTCAAAATATGTTTGAATGCAGAGATTAATTTTCCAACATCTTTTGCTACATATCAGAATAGTGGTTTGGGTATGTAATTGAATAAAAAAAAATAAATCCCCAAAGACCCTTCCAGCTAGGGTTTATTAGTTCTCCCGCCCCATATTTCTCCTTGCTCCCTGGATATATTTGCTGACCCAGAAGTAACAAATCCTTTCAGAACTAATTTATGGGAAACATGGACCCTCAATCAGCATCTGCTAGGTGACTGCAGTGCCTCTTATAGCCTAGTTAAGTGTTTAAAGAAAAATATGCTACACCATCAAGAAAGAGCCCAATGGGACCTACAAAAGTATTATGGAGGCTTAAACTTCCCTGAATTCATACTGCTTTAGTTCTAACAGTGGGGGAGAAAAAATGGGGGAAAGGCAACAGTGCCCTGGTTCGTACATCACGTTAAAACATAGTTTAACCAGTGCTTTTTTCCCCCCCTAGAAAAATAGGTGCTGGTACTCATCATGAAGTTGTTACAGTAAGTGCCACACTTACTGAAAAAAAACACTGAGTTTAACTATGGTTTAGCAGGCACAAGCAGTGTATTGGTGCCTGCAATTCAGAAGTCCCCACTTTCCTCCTCATGCTGGCAACAGCAAACCACAAGACTTGGTTCGCTGTGTCATCAGAACCAGGGGTTGTGGTTTGGTTCTCTACAAATAAACCAGGAACGGTAACCATGGTTTGTTTTTGGCTTACTGGTCCATGGCTTACTTGATGGGAGGTGCAAGGCAGGGACTTTTGAGCAATGTGAACAGCATGCTGCTAATTCACCTTAAACCATATTAAGTTCAATTATGTGCAAACGCAGCCAGTTATATGTACGATTACACACTCTTGTGAGTTCTGCAAACCCGTAATAAATCACTTTGGTGCCCTGCACAGTCCCTATCTTTAGTAGTTCTGGACTCATGTTAAATTTGTTTATGTAAACTAAAGCAAGGAAACCCTTCATAACAGGTCATGTGGTTTAGAGCATATTCAGAGGAAATAAGCACATTTGTTACCCAATTAAGTAAATCTTAATTCCTTTTTTTTAAAATTGGCCACACTTATTTTAACTTTTGTACATCTTAAATTATAGTTGTTTTTCTTAGTGATCATTTTATTATCTTACCCTTTTCTTGCAAACCTCTTTAGAGGTTTCTGACAATCAAGCAGTGTAGTAATGTAACTTTTTGAATGTTGTAAGCCACCTTGAGCATGGTTTTAACTCTGGAAAGGAGGCATACTAATAAAGTGAATGATTGATTACACCTGTGAGGCCTTTTGTAAGTAACCCAATAATCACCCATTCATGGCTGAAACGGGTACCTTTCTCTCTCCCCCCCATGTGTTTGTTTGGCTTTGTCTTGTATCCTCCTTGATCCCACTTGCACTTCCTGTGCTAGCCAATTAACAATTAACCCTAGGAAGCAACACATGCATTATTTACAAATCCCTACTTGACCTTCTTGTTTGATTAGTTAAACCTTAAACAACCACAATGATGCTTTCTGTTTCAGAGAGTTTGTTCAACTCAGGGGGTCGTTTTTACCTGAATTTTCTCCATTCTAACCACACTAAAGGGATGCGGGTGGCCCTGTGGGTTAAACTACAGAGCCTACGACTTGCCGATCAGAAGGTCGGCGGTTCGAATCCTCGCAACGGGGTGAGCTCCCGTTGCTCGGTCCCTGCTCCTGCCAACCTAGCAGTTCGAAAGCATGTCAAAGTGCAAGTAGATAAATAGGTACCGCTCCGGCGGGAAGGTAAACAGCATTTCTGTGTGCTGCTCTGGTTCGCCAGAAGCGGCTTAGTCATGCTGGCCACATGACCCAGAAGCTGTACGCCAGCTCCCTTGGCTAATAAAGTGAGATGAGCGTCGCAACCCCAGAGTCGGCCATGACTGGACCTAATGGTCAGGGGTCCCTTTACCTTTACCTTTAACCCACCCTGGTGTGAGCTGCCGCATAGAGGAAGTGCCATACTGTCAAGAAATGAAGAGAGGGACTTGCTAGCAATCGCAGTTATCACGACAGAGCTAAAAAAAATGATTCTTTGCAACTATGTTGGAAATTGTTGCTTAAGTGTGACAGGCATACTGTACGCTCTCCACAAAGCCACACACCGCCCAGATAACCAGATAACTGTGAGCAATCAGCAATAAAGAAACACATGTAGACAGCCCCCACATTCTGAGACATTTTACATAGTGACTGCCTGTTGCACCCTCCACTTTTTCAGTGCAAGCACAGTAACTGGACACTACATTTTAGGGAGTTTCTGCAGTCTAATGATTAGAGTGTCAGGCTCGGACTCAGGATAACAAGGTCTAAATCCCCACTCAGCTATGAGGCTCACTGGGGGACCACGGACCAGTCACTCCTTCCAAACTCTATGATTCAGCCTAACCTACTCACAGGGTGGTTTTGAGGATAACATGGGAGAGGGAGGGCCAGCTATACCACCTTAAGCTCGCTGGATATGAAGGTAGGATATAATAGAATGATGCTCTTTAATGGGACGCTAGCACCGGCCAAGGCATGCTGGAGAACAGCAACAATTGACAAAAGACAGACATAATATATTACAAGGACAGGAAGAAACCTTATGGACACACAGGAAGAAGAGAGTTTGAATGCTTCATCTGTAGGTGCAGCGATCATTCAATGTGTCAATACGAATGGAAGTCGTTAAAACTGCAGCTGCGATATAAGGAACTGGTATCTGGACTGGAGCGTAATTGAAATTTATAAGACTTTGGAATGCAGAAACCAAGAAAATCATCAAACCATTAATTCTAGCACGTGGGGGGCCACCTAAATTATATAATTTGGCATCTCAATTATTGGTATTATTAATTGTATTATAATTTGACATTGTTATAATGAGGCTATTACTGGATTGTTGAAACTGAAAACTAATAAAAATTATTATCAAGAAAACAAAAGAATGATTATTTAAAACACACACACACACACACACACACACACACAAATGTCCTTAAAATTAGCTTCTCCAAGATCTTGACCACCATCCTGTTTTGCAGGAAATGCCGATACAATACTTTTTGAAACACTATTTCTATTTTTTTTTCCCTAACGCATTGGGTTGTATCAAAACCATTAGTTGCTTTTTAGTCCCACTGAAATCAGTGGGACAAGTTTGTCAGTTAAGTCAGTGGGAATAATGCACAACTTTTATTGTTGCTATCCTATTATGTGAGGTGCGTTGGACACAGCTTTTGTGGGAAAGTGGAATATAAAATATTATTGCCGTCCGTCTTTGGTTCCACAGAATAATTCAAAGCACTGGAAAGACTACATGGGATTGGTTTCAAACAACTGAGTGGTCAAGATCTCTCCACAGAACTGTGCCTGCCACCGACTGCACTAGGCCTACTGTTAAATCTTTTAATAACAGTGTGCTGTTCTGAGCAGCAGTTCATCAAGACCATCAAGGCCTAACCAGTCTGACTGCACCCCAGTAATTGAAATTTTCTCTCACTTCTCATGCCAGCAATGCAACTGCAGTGGGAATTGCAAACAAAAACCTTCCCTCTTTATGCATGAGCACCACATGACATGTGGGAACCATGGACCAGTTTCATTCCCAGGACTGCTGCTTGCTGAGCCAAAACCAAAGTCATTCTACCAGCAGTAAAACTGGGGGTATGACCACTGCCGGCCAACGTGAGACAGACTGCAGCAGCTAGTTGCTCATTAAAAAAGGTAAAGGACCCCTGACAGTTAAGTCCAGAGATGAACAACTCTGGGGTTGCGGCGCTCATCTCGCTTTACTGGCCGAGGGAGCTGGAGTTTGTCTGCAGACAGTTTTTCCAGGTCATGTGGCCAGCATGACTAAGCCACTTCTGCTGAAACCAGAGCAGCGCACGGAAACGCCATTTACCTTCCCGCCAGAGCGGTACCTATTTATCTACTTGCACTGGCATGCTTTCGAACTGCTAGGTTGGTAGAGGCTGGGAGAGAGCAACGGGAGCTCACCCCATCATGGGGATTTGAACCACCGACCTTCTGATCGGCAAGCCCAAGAGGAATGGGAGCTCACCCCTCATTATATCACTGCTAATGCATACTGAACCCCAAGAAAGAGAGCCAGCATTAAGGGGTGCACAATTTTTCAAAACCCTGAAAACTAGCCTTAGTAGACCATTTATTCTTCCTTTTCTGCTAGAGGTCAATGTGTGTTTTAAAACGATCTTACTGTAATAGTTCCACAGTGTAAATGTTCTACAATATTCTAAGCATTCAAAATGTAAGGCAAGAGGATGAAAATATTCCTTTTGAAAAAATGTATTGTCTTGGATCTAAAGGGCAGTTTGCTCCACTGCAAGCCTGTCCCAAGGCAGTAAGCTCTACAAGCGAGGCTCTCCTCTGTGACCCACAGATGTAAGAAGTGCCTCTGGTGGGGAGCCAAAAAAGAGGAGATTTTTAATGGCTGGACACCTGGATTTTGGTATCTCCTCCCTAGGGAGGTTTGCCTCCCCAAACCCTTTTTGATGGCATTCCACTGGTGGCAATAACCAAACTCTTTGCCCACTGGCCTGTCACCTGGCATATTTTATTGGGGTGTTTCCTTTGCTGCTGGGAGATAAGGTTAGTGCTATCTTTGTATTCCCAGCAGCCCATTTCTCTGGGGCATCCTTTTTTATGGCGGGCTAGAGTTTTGCATTCTGACGAATTCTCTTTCTCATGGTTATTGCCGTATTGTTAAGCCGCCTCCAGCAATTCTCTTTTTGTTGAAAGGGGTAGGCATATTTGTAGCAAATAAATATAACGAAATGTGGGCTTCTCCTCCCAACACCAGTAAGAAGACCCAAAGAGAAAGAGGGCAGAGCAGTTCTTTCCTTCCACTTAAAATGGTAGTGCGCTGGAGAGAAAGAGACGGAAACAGGCCAACAGGAATGTGCATACAATTTTGAGTGTGCGCACACATTTCAATGCCTGTCAGCTTCTTTCCTTCCCCCCAAAAAGTCATAAGGGATCTGCGAAGGACTTTTAATCTCTCTGTCCCCACCCCAACTCCTAAACCTTGAGTTCTGGAATTCCCGAAACTAAAAGATAAGCAAAGGAAAGACAAAGGAGTTTAAAGAATAAAACAAGGTATTACACGCACAAACACCATGCACTGTCATCTCCAGCATAAAGGCAATTCTATGTTCACCATATCAATTGATGAAGGGACTCAGAACATATGGAGATGTGCACCTTCTATTCCTGGCACCAAAGTCAAGTGTCCCCTTTTGACCACACATCTGATGTCTGTGTGTTCAATTGATCTCATAAAAGGGCTCCTACACATGTACAGAGATCCACATCAGGGGGGAGTGGCATCTATGCAACTGGAAACCTTGAGCAATCGGGGTTTTCAATGTTGTGGAAGCCCCTGCACACAAACAGCCAAACTGGTGAAGATCAGGGCCATGGTCAGAGCATCACATAATGGGACGTCACTAGTCCGTATGGTTCTGCGCTTCACACACAAACCCATTTCTTCAGGGTGAAAGGGGCTGGTGTTGCATCTTTGCCTGGTATGGTGGTACCTCCCTGTATCATAGAATAACAGAATCACAGAATTGTAGAGTTGGAAGGGACCACAAGGGTCATCTAGTCCAACCCACTGCAATGCAGGAATCTTTTGCCCAGCGTGGGGCTTGAACCCTTGACCCTGAGATTAAGAGTCTCATCTAATGGAAGATGGAACCTCAAATGAAGGAGAGGGAGGCAGACGGTGATGTGCAGAAGGATTACATTTATTTGCACAGATACAGCTAGGAGTGGTAATATGTAGGCCAACGTTTTCCCAAATTTTCCTCCCCGAATTAAAAGTGGAGAAGCATGTGACACCCTAAAAGGATTGTTTTCAGAATGCATGGGAGTAAGAATTACCCTCTTTTTCTCTGAGTCACAGCAACAAAACATCAAAAATTTAAAAACAAAATATCCTATACAAGCAACAAGTCAACCAATAAATCAGTAACAACAATGGCAAACATTTTACAGTTATACCCAAATTAAAATAACCACCAACCCCAAACTAAACATTTAACCAACCCCATCCCAACAAAAACAAAACAGAGGAACCAAAATTAGAAACATTTTAAAACATTTTAGCCAGTTGCCACAAACCAAGAGTTGTTGGTTGCTTACTCCGAGGCCGCCTCAGCTCCTGACAACCAGCACCCACTGACCAGCCCCAGAGAAGCCAGGGCTGCTGCAATGAACAGCTGTGCAAGCCTTTGGGAGGCAGAGACGCAAGAGGGCATCAGAGCAGGGAGGGAAAGAAAGAGGGACAGAGGCTAGTGTTGCCCTCGGAACCCCTGACCATCATTCTAGGCAACCCAGGGTGCCAGAGCACACTGGCTGAAAACCACTGGAATATACAGATGAGAAACACCCTCAGAACGACAGAGACATAGCCGTGAAGATCATGCCACTCTGCCAGGTTGCTGAGCAACACCTCAATCCACCCTTCCTCCTTGGCTAGTTGACTTTAACACTAACAGAATTAACCCTCGAGTTACAAACAGAATGACCTCTACTGCTGCGCTTCCAACAATGCGGCGTGGTCCTAGTGGAAGAGGGCAAGGGAATTAGCAGTGATGACAGCAGCGATGAGGAAGCCATCCCATTCAAAGAGCCACTTTAAACCTGGAGCTGGCATTGACACCCCTTCTCTCTGAAATTCTGGTGTGCCACCCCAAATGGTGGCATTCAAAATAGTACATGTATGGGCCCATAAGCTCTCCAAAGACGACAACCTTCATCAGCCCCAGCCAGCTACCCAATGGCCAGGAATGGTGCGAGTTGTAGCCCAAAACATCTGGACAGCACCAAGATGGAGCAGGCTGGTGTGCCACAATAATTTCCAAAAGGGTAGCTGTGTTACTCTGTTGTAGCAAAAAGGGAAGTCTGGCGGCATCTTCAGGATTCATATTAACAATGTTATGGGCAGAAATGTCTTTCTATCTCCACTTGGTTCTTGACGTAAGTTATGAGGGTTGTTGCAAATAAAACAAAAAGTAGACAATGATTAAGGCAAAGTTACACAAGTTCGTCTTCATTTACCCCAGCCCCCTTGACAAAGAGATTTACATGCTTGGACCACAGAGCTGAATCAGCACTTTAAAAAATAAGAATCCACAAATAAGGGTTCTGGAAGCAGAGTGCAGAAAATGCTCCACACTGTGTAACCAACGTTAAAATGTTTCTTTAATACTGTTAAAACAGTATTAGCATGACACTGTCAAAAATTATGGGCACCAGCACAAGAGGCTTTGTGCTAGGAAATCAACATACTGCGTTCATAGTCTCCAGTAAATTAATCTGATAATTAGTTCACTGCTGCAGCCCACGTGCCTGCTTTGAAAACACAGCCTTCCTCAAGTATTATCACTGGCATCCCACTAGCACCATGGTGTGCAAAACACAATACACTACCTTGCAAAGCAGGCCTTATTTCTGCTGTCTTTAGCCCAAATGTGACTTGTACTGTCAAGCAAAACCAAGCAACGTTCCTCAAGGGTCAATTCCACCAACCACCATGGCTTTGTGCTGGTGGAAATTATTTTTGCTTCTACACGGCAGGACACTGAATTTCTGCCAATCCCCTGAATTGCTGCAGCTCCCTTCCCCTCCCCCAACCCCGGAAAAACTTCCTGTAGGATGGTGGACCTTCCAGAACACTATGTGCAGAGGACTGCAGTAAATATAGGGGATATCAGTGAAAATCAAGTGCAAAATTCAAGCAAAAGCACCTTTCACAAGTGTAAAGCTAGCTCCAGACCAACTCCCTACGGCGTAAGTTTTCATCACAATAATGCTGTTGAAAACCTGATCATCTGTCCTGAAACAGAGCCGAGACTTTCCTTTTCCTTCCATCACAAATGGACTTCTCGCTTTAAAAAAAATCTCTAATAGCAATGTGGCATATCACATCTGTAGCCAGACTGGAAGTAAAGGAACGTCCCTCCTGCTGAATGGAATGGGGGAAAGACATTTTCCATCTACACATGTATAAGCATTAGCTATTACTTTGTCAACAAATCCTCTTAATACAAACCATTTCTTATCATATACAGATGTTGAGGGGGCAGGGAGAACCTGAATACTGTAGTACAAGATTAAACACTTTAATGTCAACATGTGTGCCATGAAGCCATGAACAATGGTACCATTGTGGAGACACCAAGAAGTCGGAGCTCAGGGAAGATGGATTTAATTATCTCTCAAGCTGTCGTGTGTTCGTCTCAGACGGAATCAAACTCCAGAAAATTAGTCTGTGCGAGCTTGAGGTAGCCATGGAAGACATGCCTTTCCAAGCTTACACCCAGAAGGACCTTGTTCCATCACCCAGGAAGGAACCAAGAACCTTCCTGAAGCTACAGGAAGTGATGAGATTGCATAAGGTTGGAAAGGACCACATCCTGCTATTCCATCTGTTACTCAGGAAGTCAGAAACTCTATTAAAAGTTCGAGTTGGATGACATTCGTATGAATAAGAGGAAGGCATCAGATGCTAGATGTTAGGGCAGATAAAGCAAAATGAAAAGAATTACAAGCACAACAGAAGACGGAGCCACGCATACCCAGCTCCAGGTTGTTGGTTTGGCCAAGCAGCACTGAGTGGCATCCTGCAGCAAAGAAAATGTCTTCTCCAGCACTTCATTTTAAGACAGCAACAAAACAGCAATCAGACAAGCGAAGAGGAAAAATATGATAAAGGAATATCATGAGTTCTAGAAAAGCTTTGTTGAACTGGAGGTTAGGAAAGGCCTTTTAATTGTAGCAAGAGTCAAGACTGCCTGAAAGGGTTTTACTGCAAGGTGGTTCAGGGGAACAAATGAGGCTTTTCAATAATAGACTGAAGGATTGTTGGCAGTTGCTGCCCACATTGGAGAAGTTTAAGCATTATATTAATCTGGAAGAGGTAACCACAATCTTGTTTCTGTGTGTATGCATGCAGTGTGTGTGTGTGTGTGTGTGTGTGTGTGAGAGAGACTTAAGTGCCTTGGGGTGTAGATTTTGGCGTGCGGAACAATTTTTGCTCATTTTCCGCTTGTCGTTGTTGGTACTGTGTTTGAGGGAATTTGCTATTTCCCTTAAGCCATATTTAGCTATGTCTGTAAGGGTTCAGTTTTAGAGGGGGTGAGGAGTTTCCAAAGTTAGTTTGTTGTCTTTGTGGTTATGTGGTGTCATTTAATGGTTTTGTTCCTCCTGGGGTTGTCATGTGGACTTAAATTTCTTTAAATTTGTTGTTGCTGCATTGTGCTACTGTCCTTCAGAAGCAGCAGTGCAATTGAATCTAAAGCAGTGTCCTTTAAACTTGGGCTCCCAGATGTTGTTGGACACCAGTTCCCATCAGCCCCAGCCAGCTCAGCCAATGGTCAGGGATGATGGGAGTTGTAGTTCAATAATATCCGGGAAGGCAAGGTTGAAGAACACTAGAAAACACCATTGCCTAACAGAACCAATGTGAGACAGATGGGGAAGAACAGATTTGTCTTGAGGTTGCCTGCTCTCACAAGAGATGGGGCTCCCTTGCCGTGCCAATGCTACGGGTGGAAAATGAAGACTGTCAAGAGATGCAGGTGTGCACATACCTGTTTAGGGCTCCCTTTTACGCAACTTTGCTGTACGAAACTATCTAATGTGTCATTTTGGCCAGAAAGAGAAGATGGGGATATATTAAGTGCAGCTGGGGCCATCAAGCATTTTAACAGGATATGTTCAACTGAATCCTATGCATCCCTTCTCAGAAGAAATCTAATGGAACTCACTCCCCGTTTAACCATGTTGGGTGGCCTTGACTCTTACATTACAGAGGAAAGTCCCCTCTTTGAAGGGCTGTGTCCTGTCCAAGTCTGGTTTAAAGATATTTATAAAAGCTAACATTGAAGAATAGGGGCCGTGAAAATGCCCATCAACATCTTGACAATAGACCTGGTCACAGTACTCCCCACTAAAGTGAGACCTATGATAAAAGGTAAAGGGACCCCTGACCATTAGGTCCAGTCGTGGCCAACTCTGGAGCTGCGGCACTCATCTCGCTTTATTGGCCGAGGGAGCTGGTGTACAGCATGACTAAGCCGCTTCTGGCAAACCAGAGCAGCGCACGGAAATGCCGTTTACCTTCCCGCCAGAGCAGTACCTATTTATCTACTTGCACTTTGACGTGCTTTCGAACTGCTAGGTTGGCAGGAGCAGGGACCGAGCAACGGGAGCTCACCCCGTCGCGGGGATTTGAACCGCCAACCTTCTGATCGGCAAGTCCTAGGCTCTGTGGTTTAACCCACAGCGCCACCCGCGTCCCTCAGATCTATGATATTTTCATTTAAATTGTACAAATTATTCCTAAATTCGCACCAATTAGCATATGCCTGTTTTCTGCAAATCTGTGTCCCCCTTTGACCTTCCTTTTTTTAAACAACAACACTAGTCACATCCACACCAAACATTTAAAGCACATTTAAATAACAGGGCTTTTCCCAAAGAATCTGGGAACTGCATTTTATTGAAGGTTCTAGGCACTGTGGCTCTGTGAGGGCTCAGATACAATTATCAGGGTTCTCTGGGGAAGGCCATGACAGTCAGTGTGTCGTAAGTGTGCTTTAAATGTATAGTATGGATGTGACCACTGCAAAAGAAACTAACCTGTAAGTGCATAAAAGATTACAGCCTTAAAAGGAGAGCTGTGTTGTTGGTGGTTTTTGACTGTAGGCTTGCCGTACATCAGGAAAAATCCCGAAATGTCCTGGTTTTCGGGTGTAAAAATGGCGTTTTAAAAAATCACTATGGGGGGGGGAGTTTCCCCAAAAAAGCTCAACAAATTTGCAGGTGTTGTTAATTTTACTTTTTGAAATATGGCAACCCTATTTGAGTGAGCTTGCTTCAACTGGTTTGAGGTATAAAATTAAAACATAGAATGGTCAGGAAACTGATCAACACTCAAGAAAAGTCCCTCTTCCACATTAAGAACCGCCAGAAATTCATGCACATGAACCATGTGAGAGAAGCTCAAAGGCAATTCAAAAGTCACCTATGAAAATTCACTTCCTCTAATTTTTCAAAGGCTTGGAACAAGTCTGACGGTGTGTTCCTTTATTTTTTTGTGTCAAATGCTTCCTTTCATGCTCAATATGATGGGGGAGGGCGGGCAGACTTTTGCTCTTAAGGTGATTGCTTTCAAATTCATGCAAGTTGAAATTTATCTTTCCAGTAGATTTCCCCCCCCCCCTTCTCAAACCTGCCTCCTGTTCTTTATTACTGTGTGCGCATTAGAAAGTTAAAGTTACAAATGCAACAGGCTCACAGGCCTTTGCAAAAAAAAGAAGAAGAAAAAGTCTTGAAGAGCCAACTGGATTGCAGGCTGGTACAGCTGGTTTAAGGTATTTCAGAAGTAAATGAAATCAAATGAGAATTTATAATCCTTCCTGAGGTCTGGATTCCATCAAACTAAACTCATTAGGCATTAAGGTGCAGGTGCAGCTAAATAAAGGATTGTTCTGTTTCCCTTAATACCATAAGATCCACATCTTGAGTTCAGAATAAAAGTCCTTCAAAAGCACAAGCATATAGAACCCATACATCCATCAACTGGCAACACTTAAAGGAAAGAGATTAGGTGATGGAATCTTCTAATGGCTTATTGCTATCGCTGGAATGTTGACTAGATTGCTGTTGACTAGATGGTTGTCTTGGGAAAACAAAGCTCTTTATCCTGCAAAAGTTTCTTAATATAATTCCCATGCCTTTTCCCTGTCAACCTCTGAAACACCTGCTCTGTTGTTATTTTTCAAGTTCATAGGGTTTTTCTGTCTTTGCAGCTTCAAACTATATGTGATGTGAGAAACACATGATTAATCTCCCAGTTATTTACTTGGAACAGTTTTCATCCACTCTTCAGCCAAAAAAAGGCCCCGGAGAAGCTAATGCACAACCAACTGAAACAAAAGAGTCCCTGCGCCTGAAGGCTTACAATCTAAAAGACATGGCATAAAAGGAAGAAGAGCTGAGGAGGGAAAAGGATTAAAAAACACACACACAACACCCCTCAACTAAGCCAACAGAGGTCTGTGAATCTACTAAAGCCCAAGGGAATTGGAACTGTTTTTCTAATGAGAATAAATTATTGTCCAGCTGCTTTCTCCCCCCTCCAAGGGGGGGATGTGGAGCCTGTGTCTTTTCCCTTTTGCAGGTAGGAGAGTGATTTTGACTGGTAAAAAGGAACAGAGAATAACTTGCACACATGCTCTTCCAATGAATTCAGAACCTTCTATGAATGTATTTGAGTGCAACAAACACACCCAAGAAGGCTAATCACAGGTCTCTTGCGTCATGCACAATTTGACTCTCTCATCCGAATCCAAAAGCGTCTGGGAGGCGTGCAATTAGAATCCATGCTCAGGATAAAGTGGCAAAACTCAGGTAGGGAGAGATGAAGCACAAAGGCTGGTATAGAAATTATGCTAAACAGTGGTTCCCTACAAGCCATGGTATGCAAAAATCGGGATGTTGCACTTTTTACCCCTCTTTACTTCCAGGTTTCGGCAGTCGCGCATGAGCAGAAGCACCGAATCGCAACCCGCGCATGCGCAGACGTGGGTTGCAAACACTGCAGGTTGCGAACGTACATCCCGCACGGATCACGTTCGCAACCCGAGCGTCCACTGTATTCCCTACCATCTGCATTTTTAATAATCATTTACACATACCTTCCACAATTTGGTGACCTTCAAATATTTTGGACCACAGCTCCCAGCTGCTCCAACCAACCCGACAAAGGGTCAGGAATGATCATACAATTGCAGAGTTGGAACGGATCCCGAGGGTTATCTAGTCCAACCCCCTGCAATGCAGGAATCTCAACGAAATCATACGTGACAGATGGCCATCCAACTTCTGAAGGAGGAGAGTCCACCACCTCTTGTGGGAGTCTGTTCCACTGTCAAACAGCTCTTAGTGTCAGAAAGCTCTTCCTGGTGTTTAGTCAGAATCTCCTATCTAGTAACTACGTAGGTGGGAGTTTTTGTCCAACATCATCTGGCAGCTGTATAGATAAATGGAGCACCAGAACCACCAGCCTCCCATATGAAAGATGAAAAGACCTGAATTCAATGCTAGGGATCATTAGGAAAGGGATAGCAGAAATAACTACAAGACCCCTCTACAACTCTACATTGTACCACACATGGAATATTGGCTTGTATCCAACAGAGTGCTAAGTAAGGTAAGATAAAGGACCCTGGGACGGTTAAGTCCAGGCAAAGGTGACTAGTGGGTTGTGGCGCTCATCTCGCTTTCAGGCCGAGGGAGTCAACGTTTGTCCACAGACAGCTTTCCGGGTCATGTGGCCAGCATGACTAAACCACTTCTGGCACAATGGAACACCTTGATGGAAACCAGAGCGCATGGAAATGCCGTTTACCTTCCCGCCACAGCAGTACCTATTTATCTACTCATGCTGGTATGCTTTTGTACTGCTAGGTTGTAGGAGCTGGGACAGAGCGACGGGAGCTCACTCCATCGTGGGGATTCGAACCGCCGACCTTCTGATCAGCAGAAGGCCCCTTTTGTAGTGCTAAGTAACTGTCCCATCACCACAAAGATTTCCACTGGTGCAATGGGAGTTTGCCCTCTCTCCTCTCCCCAAGTGCCCCCTAAATCTCTTCTGGGGGTTCTCCCAACTTTGCACAGCAAATGTGGGGAGGATACAAGCGGCACAGGAGGAGTCCTGTTTTGCAAGAGGAAATCCTTACACCGACGGGGAAGTTACTTAACGCTACATGGAATAAAAGCCTGTTGTCCTGTTCCGGTCACCACACCTCAGAAAGTATCCCCCTAAAGCTGGGGGGGAGGGGGAAGCAACCAAAATGAAGGGGCTTGGGCAACTCCCCCATGAGGAAAAGCTCTGGATAAAACGAAGAAAAGGAGGTATCTGATAGAGGTGTGTAAAATTACGCATGCCTGTGAAGCGAGCGGACAGACAGCCATTTTCCTCCTTCTGTCGTAATATTAGAACCCAGGGTCATTCAGTGGAACTGAATGGTGGAAGATTCAGGAGAGAGAAAAGAAAATGATCATTTTAAAAGGGGGTTAGGGTAAATTCATGGAAGACAAAGCTACCAAAGGCTACCAGGCATGACACTCCCAGAACACCCTGAATACCAGTTTCTGAGGAACAACAGTAGGAGCAAGCTGTTGTCCTCATTTCCTGCTTGTGGGGCTACCCAAAGGAATCAGTTTGACCATTGCTGGGACAAAATGTTAGATGAGATGGGCCCTTGATCTGATTCAGCAGTTTTTTCTTCCATTCTTCAGGTGAAAAGGAAACGGTTTTGGTGGTCCATATACTAGCAAACCACCACAGTGGCCTGCAATAACCAAGACATTTAAGAATTACTGGTGAAATAAGATTCTCGTCTAGTGCTCTAGGTTAGTTACAGAACAATGCTAAAAAATTTTTTTATAAAAAAATCCAAGTTCCCCTCCACTGCAGCTTATTATATGCATGAGGGTAATTAGGGGCCCCAGTGGTAATGTAGTTAAAACACAAGTGGGTGAATTTATAGTTTCCTCCAAAAGGAAACAGCCAACCACTACTAGCTTAGGTTCTCCCAGCCTCAAATAAACATTTATTACTCCATGTACTTAACAGATCATGGAACTAAAGTTACATTTTTCCACTTTAAAATAACCCCAGTCACCCTTCTGAAACAACCCCGCCTGCCCCCCCCCAACTCATAATCAAAAAGAGGAACTCCCATGCAAATATTTATAGGGCCACACTGGGGTCAGAAAAAGTGATGGGCAAAATATATATTTTAACCCTCAAAAGTTCCCTCTGGGCTTATAACTTTATAGTTTAAAACTGCTCCATACTTTAAAATAAAATGAAAATGTACAAGAATAAAATTCTCTGAGGTCTATTTTTTGTGAATATGGTGCTTTTTTATATATATAAAAAAGCAATAACCAGAGTTAATTTTAAACATATTGAGAGGCAGGGGCTTCTCTCTTCACCCCCATACAAATACACTCAGTTTTTAAGGATTCAATATTATTATTATTTATTAATCGCTTTCCACACAAATGTCTCAAGGCATAACAACATCCCAGACTACCAATTTCTATTCTCCAGTAGAAAATTGTGACTTTTGAGTTCTTGTAGAACTTCAGCAGTGACCATTCAAAAAACAAAATAAAAAAACTAACATATTATTGTTCATCCAAAATATGTATGGGCACTTTTGTTCCCGCCCTGCACTCAGCTCTCAGCTGTGGCTCCTGGAAGCTGCCAGCATGCGACAGCAGCCACACCCCAGAAAATGGCTTTGACTGGCAGACTAAACCGGGTGAGGGCAGCCAATGGGTCTCAAACCCTCTGTGAGTTAGCGGCTTTCCCTGCATGCAAAGACAGGCTCCAGTGGATTGAATGGACAAGACCAACAGTGGGTCCAAGAGTCAAGAAGGCGGTTTCTGCACATGCTGTAGAGGGGCAAATGGGTCTCATCAACCTGGGAAAGTAGCCCACCCTTTTAATTGGAAAACAGGTGAGATATGCATCCTATTGTTTTCATTGCTATAGTTCAACTGTCCGTGGCCGAGGGCATTTTCTTTCTATGTTCCCTATCACAAGAAAATGATCAAAGTAAACCAGAAGGTATAGAGATAGGTAGAATTAACATGGGAAATCTACATGGCAATTGACAAATCTGCAAGTATAAAGGCCACTGTTGGGTACAATGGTTTGAGCCGCCTGGGTGCAGCCAAAACATCTGCCCTGAACCCTTAGTATTTTATCTCAGCCAGCTCTTCCTTCTGACCTTGTCATCAATTCACTTCTCCATTTGCATTGTGCCACACCTTGAGTTCGGCTTGTTACAGCAGGCAAAGTGGGATGTGAGCAAGGGAAGAAATGTCTGGACTGGGCAAGGAACAGACAGGAGAAGGTACACCCACTCCAACTCTTGATACATCAGGAAATGTTAAAAGACACTCTGAGCCGCACCAGACAGATCTCTGGGTTGGGACCTGGAAGCCCTAGAATTTGGAGGCATTACAAAGTGAGCCTAAATTCCCAGAGATGTTATTTTCTACCTTGAAATGCACTAATAATAACAATAATCTGTAAATGCACATTTAGTAACTTACCAGAAGTGTATGCACAGAACCTTGTTTTACATTCCATGCTGGAGGAGAATTTCTGTGGGAATCCAGGCCTGAGTTCGTAATACATCCATACAATTTACATTCCGAATCACATAATTACGAACTCGCCGGACAAGAAAGGCCATCCTATCTCTGCCAGTGGAGACACAATGTTCCTTTTTTTCTGACTCATACGACACACAGATAGAAGTATTGCCTACTCAGACTGCAAGGTGAAAATAAGAGGCAAAGGAAAAGGCGGGGGGTGGGGGGAGAGAAGGATCATTCAGGGACTTCTCTTTATTGTTTTTCAGCATCTTCAACCTCAGCTCTACAAGTGTTGCTACTGTATACATAATTGGATAAAAGTCTCCAGTGGGACAAAGAGAAAGGAAACCAGCTGGGCAGAGGGAGAAACAAGACATTTTTTAATGAGCACCTGCACAATTATATAAAACTATCTATTTGAGGGTTGTTCTCTCATTAAAGCTTTCCAAGTAAAGGCGTGCCAACTTGGGGGGAGGGGAGGAGCGGACAGTGCTTTAAAGGTTTTTAAGAGTTTCCTGTCATAATAAAACTAAGAGGATTTTCCATTCCAAAAAGCCAGCTTAGCTTCCCAAGTCAAACAGACTTGATACTACAAGGTTGTGCACTAAAGGAGAAATATCCATTCCCACCCCTCAGGCCCTTTAGCTGTTAAGAGTGTTCCAGACACATTGACTCAGCCCTGCCAGGTCGGACACAATGAAGGGTGGTGGTGGTTTCTCTAACCGCAGACTCAGAATGATCTTTGTCTGTTAGAGTTGCAAAATTACCTTTTCCTTTTTCCTTTTTTTTTTTTTTAAACTGCTCTGAAGAATCTTGTTTTGGTCTTTCTCCTATTCATATCAGCAGAATTCCCATCACTGAAACACGGCAACAGTTTTATATTCTTATCAAAGTATTAAAAGTATCTCCTCCTACACACACACACAGCTGACAGACGCAGCATAAGGTTGAAATCAACCGGCCAACAAACTCACTTGGAAGCTACTGCAAGAAGATAAAGAAGATTTCATAGTGCAACAGAAACCTAAAACTCTGCAGGCAGATTTCTCTCGTTTTTCCCCTTCCACGTCTCCAGTCCCCAACTCTGCCACCCCCCACCTCCACCCCAAAAATAGTTTGGAAATATTTGAAGGCAATTTACTAGAAGCCTTGAGTGACAAAGCTCATTACTTAAAGTGCTTTTCCTTTGCCAGACGCTTTCTGCATTCTTTCGCTGCTTTGCTCTCAGGAGACTTTTAAATCCATTGAACCAAAACAGTGCTCTGCTCGCCGGCCAAGGAAGGCATTGGCGCAGATGGCAGGCGCTACACCTGTTCCAATAAAACAGGAGATTCAAAACCATTTGGTGTCATTAGCCGCATGAAACCGAAGGCAGCTCTTGTGCTCTGAAAAGCCTCCTCGAGAGAAGGGCTGGAGTGGGTGAAGTTGCCCTAATTATGTCCAGCTGTATTTCAAGCATTTAAGGAGATGCATCAAATCAAAACACTCTGAATCTTTAAAAGAGAGATAGCGCACACAACGAAAACTAACCACGAGCTTCTACAATTTCCTTATTTTCTTTTACATTATGTCATGGCAAAGCTTGGCCATCTGTACCTTACAGCATCCTTCAAGTGTTGCTTAGCACAGTCATCATAAACACAGTTACTAGGGCAAGAGCAGCCAACCTCTGGTGCTCTGCAGATGTTGCTGAAATGCAACGCCTATCGGCCCCACCTGATCAGAGATGATGGGTGCCGGGACACAGTGGGATTTGCCTATAAGTAAACATGTATATGGGATGCAGGTGGCGTTGTGGTCTAAACCACTGAGCCTCTTGGGCTTCCCGATCAGAAGGTTGCTGGTTCGAATCCCCGTGACAGGGTGAGCTCCCATTGCTCAGCCCCAGCTCCTGCCAACCTAGCAGTTCAAAAGCACGCCCCAAAAAGTGCGAGTAGATAAGTAGGTACCGCTCCAGCCGGATGGTAAACGGTGTTTCCGTGCACTGCTCTGGTTTCGGTGTTCTGTTGCACCAGAAGCGGCTTAGTCATGCTGGCCACATGACCCGGGAAAACTGTCTGCGGACAAATGCCGGCTCCCTCGGCCTGTAAAGCGAGATAAGCACCGCAACCCCAGAGTTGTCTGAGACTGGATTGTCAGAGGTCCTTTACCTTTTTTAAAAACATGTACATCTGCACTACAAAACTCCAATCAGTTTCATCCAACTTTTAATAGTTGCTTCCCCCCGACAATTGGAATAATTGTAGTTTGGTGGGGATACGGAGAATTCTCTGTAGGGGTCAATGTCAATGTTGCATTTTGAAAGGTTTCCTGTTTGTCAGTTATATATACATGAGAACTCTCTCAGAGGATCACAGCAGCAACATATCTATGAAATATCTCAATGCAGTTCTTACGCATTGGTTAGGAAAACTCCAAGATGCACAGAAATAGCATCTCACTTCAGATGCTACAGGTGCAAACAGGTGTGCCTGGACATAACCAGGGTTTAGAGTTTTGTGTTATGAGAATGAATCTAGCCTCTACCAAGGCTAGGCACTCCCACTCCTCCCCTCCTCTTTGGACATGGCTGTGAGGAGATCGGAAGTTCCTGCTTCCATTTGATCAACTGTGGTTTGAACCCTTAACTTTGGCTAATCAAAACAAGATAGTTTCATAAACTATGGACTACAGTTAGCTTGTTTCCAACGATCACTGGTCAACCTTAACACAGTCTGTCCCAGCCTGGGCACCATTGTGCAAGCTATGGTTTATCAAAAGTGGAAGCATCCAGACTCCTCCTTGCAGCTCTGTCAGAGGAGAAGGAGGGAGTCTGAGATGTTCTTGTAATGCCCAATCTTTACATGAGTAAACCACTGAAACGATAGTAATAATAAAGTTATTTGTACCCCGCCCATCTGACTGGGTTGCCCTAGCAACTATAAATAAGCAATTATTTAGAGTTGTGAACCTTCCTGAGATGTACTGGTGAAGGGTGAAGAAGAAGAAGAAGAAGAAGAAGAAGAAGAAGAAGAAGGAGGAGGAGGAGGAGGAGGGGGAGGAGAGGGAGGAGGAGGAGGAGGAGGAGGAGGAGAAGCTGGCTGCAGCAATGTCTACACTGACTCTCAGAGATCTCTAGCTTCTGTTCCAGGGAAAGGTAATGACCGTTAAACCAGTCCATAGAGTGGACATGCCCTCTTTGTGAGATAACTTTTGAAAAGTTAACTCTCATTTATTTTCTTACATTTATATCCCACTTTTCTTCCATCATGGAACACAAAGTGCATGCGAGCTTCCCAGGTGGTCTTTCATTCAGGTATAGATAAGACCAAGACATGCTTGGCTTCAGCAAGTTGGTGGTCTAATGTGGCTTCAGGCTGCACCCTGGGGCCCCTTGTGGTTCAAAGGGCCATAAAGGGGGGAAAGCAATAATAGTTAAAAGTCACAACAAAAAGTAAAAGGGTCACAGGAGGCAGAAAAAAGTCTAGCAGGAAAATGACTCTAAGAAGGAACAGACACTTTTCCCTACATAATTAGCATGGTCCTAATAGCAGGTTTAGGGACGCGGGTGGCGCTGTGGGTTAAACCACTGAGCCTAGGGCTTGCCGATTGGAAGGTCGGCGGTTCGAATCCCCGTGAAGGGGTGAGCTCCCGTTTCTCGGTCCCTGCTCCTGCCAACCTAGCAGTTCGAAAGCACGTCAAAGTGCAAGTAGATAAATAGGTACTGCTCTGGCACGAAGGTAAATGGCGTTTCCGTGCACTGCTCTGGTTTGCCAGAAGCGGCTTAGTCATGCTGGCCACATGACCCGGAAGCTGTACGCTGGCTGCCTCGGCCAATAAAGCGAGATGAGTGCCGCAACCCCAGAATCGGCCATGACTGGACCTAATGGTCAGGGGTCCCTTTACCTTTTAATAGCAGGTTTACATATAAACTTCAGGGGAGGGGGTCTGCACATTAATGACTTCATCTGACATCTGAGTAAATGTACAGGGTCACCTGCCTGATAACTGTGGGGAGAGGGAGGGAAGAAGGATCTGCATGCATGCCTGAGGGTGACTTCAGAGAGAACCTGTTAGCATACCGCAGCAAGTAAAATCAAGTACCTCAAAGCTCTTGGAAGTATATAGATGTAAAACATGAATTAAAATAATGACGACTTGATTTTTGTGGGTAGTCATTTCCTTTTAAGGGGGAAGCCCCAAACACCCTTCCTTTGCAGACAGTGCCACTGAAATCAGGTTGCAAGTAACTGTGGGGAGGGATCCGTCCATCAGTTTCACTGCCTTTGGATGCAGCCTGGAACGTGTGCAAACAGTAAATCTTTTGCATTTGTCCTTCGTTAAATGAGCTAATCCGACCCTTTTCATTATTGTGATTATTCATTAAAATTGAAAGCATGCTGTACTAAATCTTTCAAAGCAAAGACTTGTAACCAATATTGTAAACACCCTATCCTTGCTTTGCACTCCCAGCACCGGGTACAAAATCTGGCAAGCTCGGCCAAGGAATCTCCCCCAAGTATCATTTAGCGTTGGCAGCCCTGCGCTGCAAAGCCATTTACTTAAAGCGATGGTTGGCAGCGCTCGCTCTTCCATGGGAACAAATTAACATTGGCATTCCAAACACAGGAAAGTAAGGAAATTAGAAACACAGCTCAGATTTGGCCGGCACTTTGAAATACTGTACCATGTGCTACTGATGTCAATTAATGAAAAGCAGAGATTTTGCTGAGGGGGTCTGGTTTTGAAACACATTAACACACATTCAGCATGTTTGCACAGGAACCAGATTATAAACATCTTGGTTCCAAAACAATAAGGCAATTACACTGGAACTTGGAGCTTAGAGCACGCAGACCTGATCTACATGTTCAGAGACCTTGCGGGGCAGCAAACTATAGTTGTGGGGAATCTCCATATTAAAACAACAACAACACTGCCTCTGGAAAGCTAGAGTGTTATGGGAAACATGTCTAGCTTTCTGCCTGACATGCTAACATTTCTAGGCATGGGGAAGTTTTCATAGAGAAGACTATGGATCAGTGGTAGAGCGCATGCTTTTATAAGTCCTGAACTCAATCCTGGGCATCTCCAGTAAAAGCTATTTCAGACAGTAAGGTTCTGCCTGAGACTTTGGACAGCAGCTGCTAGCCTAGTGGGTGGGAGAGAGATTTCAGGATTACAGAATCTACTTTGGTTTCTGCTAGAACCTCAAAAGCCAACAACCAGACCCAAGTGAAAAACAGTGGCTCAGGAGCCAGATACAGAACTGGTGTGGGCTACTTTGGAGCACATGGCTCTGTCATATAATTTGTTTCTGGCCCTAGAACTGAGGTCCTGCTCTGGAAGGTAGGACTTGAACCAATGGCTTCAAGTTACAAGGAAGGAGATTCCGACTAAACAGGAAGAACTTTATGATGATAAGAGCCGTTCAACAGTGGAATGGACTCCCATGAGAGGTGGTCGGCTCTCCTTCCTTGGAGATTTTGAAGCAGAGGTTGGGCAGCCATCTGCCATGGATGCTTTAGTTGGGATTCCTGCTTTGCAGGAGATTGGACTAGATGACTCTCGGGGTTCCTTCAAACTCTGTGATTCCATGACTCCTAGTCTTTGAACAGAAAACTCCACACTTCCCACTCCTGCCCCAGCTTTCTTTGTTTCAGAAGTCTACTTGGTTGTTCTATTGTTCAACAACTGGAAACCAAAAGTCCAGCCGACCTACAGCAAATCACCCAAAGATCTACTCTAAATTCCCAACCTACCTTCTTCCCACCCCAATGCTAGGCAATACTAGAATAAGATGGACCTGGTATAAGCAACCTTCCCATGTTCCCTAGGCATTTGAAGCAACATTCTGAAATGTCCCAGTCCTAAGGAGGACTGCAGACCATAATTGTTCTGAGCGACTAGATAAGCCATTGTTTGGAGGTTTTGCTCCACTTAGCAAGAAGGTACCAAAGGCCAAAAGGAGAATGTGGGGCTCTAATTTGTGTTGGACTCCATAATAGGGATTTGTGGTTATAAGAAGAGAACTACAAGAGCTCAGAACTACCTACAACCAGACCCTGAAGCCCCCTAACCCAAAGCATTTAAGGACTTCTGGTCTGTTCCCCAGATGGAGCGGAAAGCTTCAGTGATGAAGAAGTTCTAACTGGAAGATCATATTAGAGTTACTTCTTCCTGGCTCTCATCCAGGCCAGGCCCTTCTATGCTGATGGAAGCTCACCCTCCTTTCCCCAGGTAGCCGTGGCACTTCAGCACAGACCAAAGGCCAGTGGAGAGTGCAGAGTGAAGGGCCACAGCTCAGGGGTAGAGCATCTGCTCTGCATACAGAAGATCCCAGGTTCAATCCCCAGTACCTCTAGGTAGAGCCAGAGAAGACCTTTGCCTAAACCCCCAGAGAGCTGCTGCCAGTCAGTTCGGACAATAATGAACAAGACAGAGAAACAGTCTGAATCAGTGGAAGGCCGCTTCCTTTGTTCCTATGCCATTATGAAAGAGGGATTGCACTAATATATGTTCTGGGGATTCGGCAACAGGACTGATTTCATGCTGCGTTTATAGCTGACTTCCCTGGGGCAGCTGCAAAGACAATTATTCCACTCTGCCCGAGGGGAAAGGGCTATGCCAGCTGGAAAAGCCCTCCTCTTTAAGAACTAACAATTAAGAGTTCTGAGTGATAGCTGAGCTTCATTTTAGCAAGCATCGTGAACTACTTAGGCTGCACGTGCCTCGCGCACATTGGTAAATATATATAACATGCATTTTTATTTAAAAATAAACAAGAAAGTCAAGAAAATATTGCACATACAGTGGTACCTCGGGTTACAGACGCTTCAGGTTACAGACTCCACTAACCCAGAAATAGTACCTCGGGTTAAGAACTTTGCTTCAGGATGAGAACAGAAATCGTAGGACGGCGGCGCGGCAGAAGCAGGAGGCCCCATTAGCTAAAGTGGTACCTCAAGTTAAGAACAGTTTCAGGTTAAGAATGGACCTCCAGAACGAATTAAGTTCTTAACCCGAGGTACCACTGTAATTCTTCTTTTAAAAACTACAGGCACATCGGCATGTTAAAATACCTAAGAACTATTTTGTCAGACCAACGTAGAGAGAATAGTCGTACATCATCCCTAAATTTACCATTCCGAAACTAATGACCGTCAACCATTCCTTAACACACTGATTTTCGTACTTACAATTTTCAAAGGCACATAATGTATCTCAATGCAACAAATAGCTACTACGGCTTGGATCAAGACTTTGCTCCTGCCGGCGGAATGGCAGGCAACTTTTGCCCATTTCCCCATTTAGATCCCTGCACACGCCAAAAAACTGCTCCAGAAGGTTGGGGCCAAGCTGGGACAGTACAGGAGGTGGCACAGGGGATGCAGCAGACCAAATATGAATCAATAAACAAAAGAGGTCCCAGAAGTGAACAGGAAAACTACTACCGTAACACCAAATTATGCACAAACATAAAACATCTCTCCTTTGCTCTAGACACCTAAGAACATGATTAAGTGAAATGGTCCATTCTCATTGCCATCTCACTCGGCCTGAATTTCAAAATAATGCCCAAGGTTGCACTCTTTCACTGGGTATTTAATCCAAGGCCAACCATAACAACAAGCTACCACATGCTAGCCTTTTCCTTGTGAGGATCTTGGCTGTAGCCTACTCCAGTTGTATTGGGTGAAAATATGGTTCAATTAGAATAATGCAGGATTTATGCTTGTGTAACTAAAGTCAAAGGGACGCGGGTGGCGCTGTGGATAAAACCTCAGCGCCTAGGACTTGCCAATCGCATGGTCGGCGGTTCGAATCCCCGCAGCAGGGTGAGCTCCCGTCGTTCGGTCCCAGCTCCTGCCCACCTAGCAGTTTGAAAGCACCCTTAAGTGCAAGTAGATAAATAGGTACCGCTTTATAGCGGGAAGGTAAACGGCGTTTCTGTGTGCTGCTCTGGTGCCGGTTCGCCGGAGCAGCTTCGTCACGCTGGCCACGTGACCCGGAAGTGTCTGCGGACAGCGCTGGCTCCCGGCCTCTAGAGTGAGATGAGTGCACAACCCTAGAGTCTGTCAAGACTGGCCCGTACGGGCAGGGGTACCTTTACCTTTACCTAACTAAAGTCAAGGTCAGTTTTCGTTCTGCTGCTAATGAGCAATGGTGCTTGCTCTTTCAGACAGGTGCTTACCTAACTTTTAATGAGTTTGCAGACTATAAAGCAACACCGAAGCCAGGAGGGGGAACATGTGGCCCTTCAGATGTTGATGGGCTGCAACTCATCCTCAACTACTGGCCATCCTTGCTGGGAGCCAAAAACATCTGCAGCACCCCACCCTTGCATTAAAGAATCAGTTCCCGCATCCTGATCCTGGGTTTAGGAACACTCAGTGAAAACCCATTGAAATGAATGGATGTGACTAAATCAGTCCATTCATTTCAATGGGTCTACTCTGAGTAAAACTTAGAGGGATGCAGTCTCTTGTGTGTATGTGTTACTCATTAGAAGTCCCATAGAATGGATTTTTTAAAATTTATTTCTAAAGTGGTCCCTTCGTTTGTTTCTTGAAAGACTAAAATGGACACAATTAAGTCAATCCCGGATGAACATTATTGAAATAAGTCAAGTGTGTGACAGGAAGGGTTTAGGAAAAAAGAAAGGTGGCGGGGGGAGATATACCATTATTGCCGAATGTGGTGCATTACTAGCTAAAATATTCCACCTGGCCACTGTTAAACACTCTGCCTTATTCCTTCACTCAGCTGATTCCAATCTGTCATCTCAGCCACTCTTGGGCATCTTGTGCATTAAGACGCACTGAGCTGTGTAAAAACTAAACATGTTATTGTTTTAGCCACAAATTAACAGTTTCAGTATAAATATTAGCATTTCCTCACTGCGGTTCAAGGAGAGAAGCCATAACAGCTATAACAGCATACTTTATTTTGACTAATTAAAAACAAAGGCCCTTGCAATTTAATATATTGATTCTAGCGGTGGGACTTAACCCCCTTTTTTGTAATAAGTGTACACAGCTGCGTGGCTCACCCCACCCACCCCCTTTTAAATGTAATCCCCACATTCCTCCTGACAGGATCCGCACAACTCTGTATTAGCCTTAACCTCGCTGACACTGCCAGAATATATTAAACTAAAGCATAACAGTGTCCCGTTTAAAAAGGCATCTGTCAACAGCCCCTGACTAGGCTTTAATGGTTAGAAGCGTTTTAAAAAATTAATCTTTCCAGTTGCATTCATCCCCACCTCTCAACTCTGTACCGTTTCCCCCACAAGATGTCCCAAACTGGATGCAATTTTTATTAAGAAAAGGCAGAAAGTTGTCTCTGTCTGTGTGTGTGTGTGTGTGTGTGTGTGTGCGCGCGCGCGTGTGTGTGTGTGTGTGTGTGCTTTAAAAGCAGCTGAACAAGCAACAATGGAGAGAAGAACAAAACGGCCAAATTAGACCTCTGTGCGTCTTGGAATAAAACTGCTCCCCAAATTGGTGTAAAACAGTCACTTCACCACTGCAGTGACTAAGAGCAACCTGCTCCAGCTGCCCACACTCTCCAAAGACAGCCGGTGTGCTTATGCACACACAGAGATGTCAAAATGTATGTTGTTCGTCAACAGCAATGGCCGCACCGTAAGAACACATGTTGTGGGTTTCAAGAGGGGCCTTCCTTTTGGGCTGTACATTGCAAGACTTGCTTCGGGGCTTCTTAAACCACAGGCCTTGATGAGGGTCTCTGTAGCAGCTCCTGCTCCCAGAGCTCTGGTTTCTGGTGATCTAACGAAGTCGACAGGTTCACACTTTTTGGAATGCCCTTAGAAAGTACCCTTGGCCAGATCTGATTGACCAACTGCCTCGCAAAATCAAGTATTCAGTGCATTTGGATGCTCAACAATGCGTCTCTGTGCCCCAAAGGCATGCGCAATGGATCTCCTCCTTGCCATCTTCCATGTAAACAGCAGTGGCACATGCCCTCCTGTTAAAGAATCATAGAACTGTAGACTTGGAAGGCACCCCGAGGGTTATCTAGCCCAACCCCCTGAAGTTCATGAAACTCTTTTTCAACATTTTTTTTTTAGCTTTTCAAATTCTTTTAAACAACCGTCAGAACATATCATATGCATCGACTTCCCATCCAGCCTTCCATGGTGTTCGTTTCTTACCTTACAAAGCTGCTATATTACTTATATTTTACCCATTATATTTGTAACTTCCACTTCCTATCAGCTGCTGTACTTCAAATCTGCAGTGCAGGAATCTCAACTAAAGCATCCATGACAGATGGCCATCCAACCTCTACTTAAGCACCTCCAAGGAAGGAGAGTCCGCCACCTTCTGAGGGAGTCTGTTCCACTGTCAAACAGCTCTTACCATCAGAAAGTTATTCTTGATGTTAAGTTGGAATCTCCTTTCTTGTAACCTGAAGCCATTGGTTTGGGTCCTACCTTCCAGAATAGGAGAAAACAAACTTACTCAATCTTCCATGTGACAGCCCTTGAGATATTTGAAGATGGCAATCATATCTTCTCTCAGTCTCCTCTTTAGCAGGCTAAGCACACCCAATTCCCTTAACCATTCCCCAAGGGTTTCCAGACCATTGATCATCTTGGTTGCCCTCCTCTTTATGTTCCAGCTTGTCAATATCCTTCTTAAATTGTGGCACCCAGAACTGGGCAGGGTATTCCAGGTGTGGCCTGACCAAGGCAGAATACAGTGGTACTATTACTTCCCTTGATCAGGACACTGTACTTCTGTAGTTGCAGCTTAGAAACCCATGTTGGTTCTTAGTAATCAAGGTATCCTTTTTTAAGTGCTCACAGACCGACTGTTTAGCTATATGCTCAATGACCTTTCCTGGTCTCAACACCACCTTCTCTGGTTGATAGTTACCTGGGTCTTCTTTTCGCCTTTTTTGAAGATGGACCTCACCTGTATTCCAATAATTCTCAAAGATGATAGACAGAGTCTCTGAGATTACCCAGTAATTCCTTAAGCTTTTTGAAATCAGTCTTCTTAAATTCCAGAGTGCATGTTCAACTACACTCAGCTTTCCCTTGCCTTTATAGAATGAAACCCAAGGGAACATTATCACTTCCTCACAAGGTTCCCAGTAATTCCACTTCATCAATCAGTTCCTCCCTGTTAGAGAGGACCAGGTCCAAGAAAGATGCTCCCCTTGTTGCTTCTTCCATCTTCTGGGAAATGAAAGACATTTTGGTCTTTCTTCTTCTTCTTCCCCACCTACAGTATAAGGTCCATGCAGCTGCCATTAAGACTATTTCAGCAACTATTCGCACCTCACTTGGAGCTATTAACACCTCATTAACATGTCACAAGCAGTCACTTTTCCTCCAAGGCCTTGAGCTGGGAGAGGCTACAAAAGGGGAATGTGGAGGGAGAGAGATCTCCAAACAGACCATATAGCTTCATTCAAAATGCACTAGAGTCAACTGGCTAGTGGAGCATCAGCTAGGTGCTACATTGCTGGTTACAACCCCAGAACATTAGATAAATACATCAGTGTAAATACTGGTTTCTTTGCATGCACAAACAGAAATCTGGAGAGGGATTTTGCTATTGTTTCTAGCAAATAAGGTTTTTTTTGTCTTACTTTTCAGCTACCTTCCTACAGATTTCTGCTTACCATGCCCAGCAGCTAAAAAGATAGCAATGAAATGCATGACTCACCAAGGCAAAAAGGGTATCTCTTTGAATAGGGCCCTACTCTGCAGAGCGTTTAGCATAACAGTTAACCCAGCCATATACTGAGGTTGTGCAAAATGAGTAACAGCCCAGAGTCAAGCATTAATCATTGGCTATAGAGAGAGGGTTTTTTGCAAGCCTCATCTTCTCCTTTAGCATCTAGGAGGAGAGATCCATAGCTCATAAGAAAAGACTGAGTTTTACATGCAAAAGAGCCAAGGTTCAACGTCCTCCATCTCCGGATAGGGGCGGAAAAGAGCAGTGTCTGAAACCCTGAACAGCAACTGCCAATTAATGTAGCAGTCAATATAGATGAATAAACAAGAGACAGAGCAGACAGTTGCAAACATTCAGTCTTTATTTGCAAACCACGACAGTGGGGTCCCCCTCCTGCCAAGGTGAGGAGTTGGGTTCGGTCTCAGTCACAGGACTTCCTCTCTGCTTGAGGGGGGATCCATGGTGGGTGCAGACCTGTTGACTTGCAGCCTGTGAACTATGAGCCTGGCGCAGCAGGGACAGTGAGAGGAGTAGGGGTGAGAACTGAGAGGGTGTCCTCAAGTGCTATTGGTGCATCAGCCAACAGTGGCTATCCCCCTCCCACATAATGGGGAGGGAGCACACCAAATTTATGGAGGGTGCCCCTGTGTTGGGCTTGTGGTCTGCAAGTTGGTCAGTGCCCCTTCCGCTGAGGCAGAGGAACTGGCTCCTACAAAGCACAGAGTCGTGGAATGGAGAGGCAGATCTTCAGAGCTGTGTCTGCTGCATCCCTTACCTGCCTGCGGTTGTGGCGCTCCTTCCTGGATCCCATCAGCAGGTGGCGGCGGTGCTGCCACCTCTTCCACAGCTGAGCATCTGCAAGGCAATCACACAGCGGAATGAGAATGGGGGCTAACAGTTGCAGGTGCCTACCCCCCACACACACACCTGACCCCTCTATTTCCCACCCCATCCGTGGTGCCAGATCCCCTGCAAATGGATTCCACAGCACATGTATTATGGTGCTGGTGAGTTTCCGCATCCCGCAAAGGGACCAGGGGCATGGGGGCGTGTTGTGAGTGGCATTTGGGGTCAGGGTGGTGCGTCCTCCTCTCAGACTGACCTGGTTTTCTGTCTCCATGGCTGCTCCTCCCCGTGAGTGGTTGCTGGAGGTGCTGAATTGCCAGGGTGCAGCAGTTACTGCTGCTGCCATTTCTGCTGGGAAGAGAAGCTTGGGAGAGAGCTGTTAGCACGAAGGCCTTGTCCATTCCCCATTTCTGAGTGTGGTCTCTGACAAGTGCTCCAAGTGCCCTGTGCCTGTGCAGTGTGCTCCAGGAGCAAAGTGCCTTTGACCAGAGCTCCTCTCTCGAGTGCAACATCCCTGCACAAGGCGCTCTTGAGGCAGCATGCCGCACTGCGGGAAGCACAAACTGAAGTGAGCTGCAACTGGAGCATGCTCAGTTTATATCCTGCTGCCTTCGCCACTGTGCAATTTGTCATGAATTACAGCGGATCCTGAGTCCTCTTTTGAAGCATTGTAGGCAGGGTAGTCTTTAGCATATGCACCGCTGGGGTGCAAAGATCCACCCAGAGCCCCCCATCACCAGTAGCCCTGAGGTCGCTGCGCTCCGCCGCCAGGCCCGACAGAAGTGCGTTCCTGCTCCAGTGCCACCAGCGAAAGGCAGCAGCCTCCTGAGTTTCCCCTTCGAGGGGGAGGCCAAACTTCTAAGGGGGTCGGGAACCCGGCAGGGTTTGTCTTGTCAAGACTCTGCAGCAGCGACTGTGCTGGTCCCGTGGGTAGATCGAGAGGCAAGGTCCAAGTCCAGTACGAGGTCGAAGGAGCAATATGAAGGCAGTCCGTAAAAGCTGAGGCAGGGTTCAGGCAGGAACTGGCAACCAACAACGTTGCTTCCGCAACTTGGGACTGGGGCTGGCCGGCTTTTATCTGCCCCGAGGCATGGGGCAGCCCCGGTCCACAGGTGACTCGCCTCTCCTGGCCTAGAGGCGAGCACTCCTCCTGTGGGAACTTAGTTTCCTCCGCCTCTCTGCCCTAAGCCTCTGCAGCCCAGGAGAGGCTGGAGGGTTATCAGACCCAGAGGCAACCTCAGCTTCCTCTGACGGGGCTGAGAGTGGAGCACCTGCAGGCAATGGGTCCTCCATCACCTCAGGAGCCAGAGCAGCCTCAGCTGGTGCCTGCACCTGAGGATCCAGCGCAGGTGAGGACCCTTCAGGCTCATGCCCCGGCCCTGGCTCAGCTGGTTCTGGAGGCGGGGAATCCTGTGCAGTCTGGGATTCCTCAGGTTCAGCATCCGACTCCAAATGCCAGGCCATCACAGCGACATTGCATTCTCTTGCGCTACCGCCCAAGGGTTGCCTTTGCAGTTTTTGCATTTGCTCCTCCCAGCGGCGGTGCCTGGCGCCCCCCAGAATTCAGTACCCAGGTGCCCCACACCCCTTGCACCCCCGGGTAAAGACGGCCCTGATTACAGGTGAGCCTGAGCTGAAATTTCTACAGATTTCTGCAGAGCCTCCCCACGGACTTCCATTGCTGGCAGAACTCATGCTAGGTTGTCAAGTCACGTGACCAAGATGAACAGGCTTAGGATCTAACATAAGGTCGCCCCCCCCCCCCCCGGCTTCACTCCTATCCTCCCCACTCCCCCAGAATTCTTACAATCTGCTGGTCTTGGCTCAGCAGGAGCTTACGTTAGCGTTGCCCAGCTGAGCCAGGATTCAGCCATGAGATCTGGAGTTACTCATCCCAGCAGATCTGAGCTCAGGATTGCTCCCTAACTTAGGTCCATTGATTTCAATGGGTTTACTCTGAGTAAAACTTAGTTGGCCACCACTCTTAACTTTTTTTAATTGTTTGTGTCGGGAAGAACACATAATATGTCACAAATAAATTACATGTCCTCTGCCCCCACCCCTTGTAACATACCAAAATATTATAGCATCATCTAAAGATCAGATATAAGCATTAATGCTTAATGCTTAATTAATTAATTAATTAATTAATGCTTAATTTCAGTGGTAGAGGTTCCTAAATACAACTGTTAACCGAACACTTTGATATTCAGAATGAAGGAGATCCTAAGACGAAAGCAACTGAATTGCAGTCTTTGCTTTGGATTTTGTCCCTGATTAGGAAACTGTTTTTTTAAAAAAGAACTAAATAAAACACCCCCTGTCAATCATATATACACAACATCACATACACGTGCTAGAGGACCTGTTCTGAATCTCTCGTGCATAGCGATGATATATACTAAAGCAGGCTTGCAAGCCTGAAAACAACTCCCTCTGCAATATTCCTCCTGAGGCCTATTGCACTTAACCACTTGTCCTGGTACTTTAATTACAAGCCTATGCACATATGCAGCTCCCTTTAAAAAAAAGTCAAGTAGTTTGAATGCTTCCCAACCCAAAGAGGTTTTCAAAGCCTCCTGATGCGAAATGCTAGAGAGAAAGGAGATATTTCAGGAACGTAACTAAAAGCACGCAGACCCCCACCTGCAACACACACATACACAGACCACTCTAGATCTGGATTTCGGAACATACGTTTTCCATTTCCCCTTTATCCTTCGTATCGCTATAAATAATCACCCTTCCACCTTGCTGAAAAACATCACACCACCTGATATTTTTATTTGACACACATGCTATAGAACCCATCGGCCCGGCCGTGTCCCACGTCAATTTCTATGGTCCATTCAATGCTTGACAGTGCTGCCTATACATCAAATTAAAATGCTGGGGGGGGGGGGGACAAAGCAGGGGAAGAGGGAGTCTCTCAAAGGTTCTAGAACATCTAGAGGTTGTAATGCACAAGCATCTTCAAAGAAAACTTTGCAGCTTTTTTTTTTAGCAAACTTTTAATGAGAGACGATTTGACAGGCAATTTCAAACACTTTTATACATCCACATACAGAAGTGCCTTTTTGCATATCCTTATTAAGATTGCTGTTGTGGGAGCTATTCTTACAGGTCCCTAAGGAACACTGGTGTTGCTTTGCTTTGAGACTTTGAGCGGGTTTATAAATCTCAGCATAAAATGACCCACTTCTCAAAACAGCCAGAGACGTTTAAAAAAGGAGGGAGAAAGAGGGGGGGGAAGTGTATTTACCCTGATGTATGGACCACATCATGTGATCCTCGACAGGCCTTCTCAGGGCCAAGATTTAATCTGCTTTGTTTCAAGTGGGAAATACGTGAAGATCAAATAAGTTCAAACGCAGGTCAAATATCCCTTCAGAAATTCTTTTCATTTATACAAGCCGGGAAATGCAAGTTTAAGAAGTGTGATTATGAAAGGGTTACTACAAACACAGCTGTACACATACTCTTATATCTGAAGCTCTCCGAAGTGGGGGGTTGGGGCGGGGAGGGAGAAACTTTGCGACATCTATATTAACCTTTGGCTGTACACCAAGGAAGGCCTGTAGCGAGATGGAATGCAAAGCAGCCTTTCCAATTTTTAACACAAGCCAGGTTACAGCTGCAAAGGCCTGCCCCTTGCATTCACTTCACAAAGCCAGTCCCAACGGAGGATTCTCTACAAGTCCGTCCCCCCCTTAAACTGCTTCAGAATGAAAACGCTAATGCCCTACAGTGCTAAAAGCCTGCTATTCTAGGGGGGCAACGGGATGCATATTCTGGTGCCAAATACTTGTCAGGGGGGAAATTTGGGGGGGAGAGAGAACACCACCAGATGGTATGAAGTAAACTGAAACTCGAGGTCTCCTCAGCATCTTCGCTTACATGAACCAAAAGTCACTTTTGTGCACTCTTTCCAAGAATGAGTAATTTTCCTAATTTTCCCCCTCCTCTCTCTCTCTCTCTTTCAGTTTTGTCAAGCATTTAACCACAATTTTATACTTGTCAGTGAGGTGACTGGAGCTGACAGCATTTCGCACTCATACTGAGCCCAAGAGGGAAGAGGGATGAACACAAAAACGGCCACCCTGACCAGCAAATATTTTCAGCAACCTGTTCCAAGCAGGTGGGACAACTCTGCTGTTTGTGACGGCCTTGCTAAGACCACTCAGATCAGGGGTGAGTCCAAGGTAAGAGTAGGATCTACTGGCAGATTACTCAGTGACTTGCAGTATATCTGCAAGTGTTTCTGACTTCCAGTAGTTGAACAATGGAAAATGTTATTTAAAAGAAAAATCTCTGAGATGGCTAACCACTTATCTCTCGGCTTCAGTGTGCCTCACCTGTAAAATAGGTGTATTCATCAGCTGCTTTTGACCTCGTCTTAGTGCAGCCCTGCTGGCCAATTTTGGTTTTGTGATAGGAATTATGATCTGCAGCAACTCAGATGTAGATCTGTACTTGCCAATGCAAGTTAACTCAGTGGGTGGCCTCTTGGGGTGCAGGAGATAATTGGAGCCACACAAGGTACCATTTAAGAAGGTAAGAGCAGCCCTGTTGGATTAGACCAAAGACCTATCTAGTCCAGCATTCTGTTCTCATGGTAACCAACCAAAAGGAGACGGGAAGCCTGCATCCCAAGATCTAAGAGAGACACTGGCAATCCCCAGCAACTTGTATTCAGAGGCAAACTTGTACCTGGCCCCAACCCTCTGGCCGCTGTTTTAAACTTGGCTTTGACTGATGGATCTCAATGCTCTAGTATAGCGGTTCTCAACCTGTGGGTCCCCAGATGTTGTTGGACTACAACTCCCATCATCCCTGAGCTCTGGCCTTGCTAGCTAGGGGTGATGGGAGTTGTTGTTGAACTACAACTCCCATCACACCTAGCTAGCAAGGCCAGAGCTCAGGGATGATGGGATCTGGGGACCCACAGGTTGAGAAAGACTGCTCTAGTAAATCACAGAATTGTAGAGCTGGAAGGGACCCCGGGGGTCATCTAGCCCAACCCGCTGCAATGCAGGAATGTTTTGTGCAACTTGGGGCTCAAACCCACGACCCTGAGATTAAGAGTCCCATGCTCTACCAACTGAGCTATCCCAGTGTACATTCAGTGTATAACAAAGTACATCCTGTTAGCCTGAAAGCAGCACACCCCAATGTCGATCACAGGGCTACCTGAGCGCTGGAAGGGAGAAACTGCTTCCATGCTGATGCACTTTTGATTCACACAAAAATGAATTTGCAGAAAAGAAAAAATATTACTGCAATGCCTGCTAAAATCATGTTCAGAATGAAATGCATTGCAAATGTGCCCAGGCTATGATTTTATTCCTGCTTCATCACCAAAACCACAACTGGAAGAGAGTTCATGCCCTTGTATTTTTTTTTTATTTATAAAATTTATGAGTCACAGTTTCCAGCTCCATTTCCTGAGCATAAAAAGCAATGCATAAAAGATAAAATCACTTGGCCACCTTTGAGTTAAATCTGCACTTCTCACTACTGAAAGGTCCAGCTGCATTTCCAAGCATCACACAGAACCCCACTGAGAAGCAGCATGGGCTCCTTTGTAGCCTAGAGAGGTGCTTTTCAAACCTTGTTCCAAGGAATCCCGAAGGGATTTACCAATGAGATAAATAATAATGGAGAAACATCTCAGAAATACAGCTGGATTCCTGATCTCCTGTGATCAGGGTGGAAGGGGTGCCTCTGAGTTCACATGAGGTAACAGTCCCCAATAGCCTGGAGCAGTGTTTCCTATGAGCTCAGCACGTACCTTAAAATACTCTGAAACCTATAACGCACTTGTAGCAGGTCCACAGAGAAATCAATACGGAAACAGTTCTCTGAAACAGAAATATATCCAATTTGGGTATCACCATTCTGGAATCATGGAGCATTCTAAAAACAAATGCAGTTAAAAATACCAGAAACAGTTATCATTAAGACATTCTAAAAACAATTAAAAGCATTCTCTCATCTCATGGTCTCAGGGTTGTCAGGAACAGTATCCTTCAGCCATCAAATGCCTATAAACAGGAAAGCTTTCAAACTGCTTCTGAAAGCAAGAAACACCTCACCGGAGAGGGAGGGCATTCCACAAAAAGGGAGCCACCACCAGAAAGGGCCTGTCACAGGTCAACACCAGCCAAGCAGCCCCTGGTGGCATCACCACCAACAAGGCCTCGTCTGCCAATCGTAGTGTCCAAGATGGCCGATACTGGAGCATGTGATCTTTCAATTACCTGGTTCCCAAGCCATTCATGGCTTTATATGCCCAAATAACAAGTGCAAACAAAATTATCTTCCCTAACAACACCACTATAAACAGACAAGGGGCTGGGGCTTGTGCAAAGCCACACACAGTCTGGGAAAATGTGCAGAGGAAACCAAGTCAGACCATTGGTCTAACTAGATCAGTATTGTCAACACGTACTACCAGTGGCTAGCTACAATTTCAGACCAGGAGACCCTCCCAGCTCTTGCTGGACATGCCAGGGGGCTGCTGTATGCAAAGGAGGTACACTGAGCTACCTACAGCACATCCCTTGCTACTTGGCTATGCCCCATCCTTCCTGCACCTTACGTCACCAAGCACAAAACAGTATCCATCGGTTAGTGTGGGACAGGCATGAGGATTGCGAAAGTGTCACTCCCAGTTGCTGGGTGCCACAAGTGGGGAGAGTGTTGCTGCGTTCAGGTCCTGTTTGCGGGTTTCCCATAGCACTGTGAGAACCTGATGCTGAACTAGACCAGGCCAGAGCCTTATCCAGTCCAGCAACCCAGACTCCCACAGCAGCCAACCAGGCACCCTGCTAAGTAGGACATGAAAGCAGCAGCACTCTGAAGGCGTTGTTCCCTAGTGAGTGGAATTCAAAGGATCCTGGAGATAGCATACATCATGACTGGTAACCAGGAGCCGATCACAGCCTAATCCTCCTCTAAAGCCATCTTAAACTGACCTCCAAAAACCTTAACAAAATATATTAAAAAACAAAAAAACAACCACCTGCCTTTTGATTCTCATTAGCAGCAGCCAAGATTTACTCTTCATTTTAAAGCGGGGTAAGCAACCTAAGGCCCAGGGGCCAGATGCGGCCCAATCGTCTTCTCAATCCGGCCCACAGATGGTCCAAGAATCAGCATGTTATTACATGAGTAGAATGTGTCCTTTTATTTAAAATGCACCTCAGGGTTATTTGCGGGGCATAGGAATTCGTTCATTCGTTCATTTTTCTCTCTCCAAAATATAGTCCAGCCCACCACATGGTCTGAGGGACACACAGCTGAAAAAGGTTGCTGACCCCTGTTTTAAAGGGCGAGGTCCTTCCTCAATTTGCAACAGAAAGACAATGAGTTTCACCCTGGGATGGCTATGTTTCAAATGCAATCCTCTAAAGCAGACGGCAAGTATCTCCACACACCCCTCAGGTTATTTTGCATGTCTGAGGGAGGTGGGGTGGTATTGTTCTCTCCTTGAATACTGGGGTTTCACTTACCTATTGATCTGGGGAAACCATCAATCTTAAAAGTTGGCCTGGGGGCCCTATTCTGAGGGAGGGAGTCCTTTGGTGGTGGCTGGGCAACTGCCAAGCCCTTGCCTGCTGCTTTTAACTAAGCCGAAAGGAACAGGTGATTGTAATGGTGTTCAGTTCCCTACTTCCCATTAGACTTACCACAGCTCCCAAGTGGCACACCTGAGGAAAAGCAGCAGCAGTATGGTGCAATGGTTAGAGTCTGGGGAGAGCCAGGTTCCAATCCCCCAATCCCAGCTGCTGCAACGTCAGGGTGGGGGGGCTAAGCTACTGTGATGAGAGTTCAGGGAGGAGTCGTCTCCAGTGTCCTGTGGTGTTGGCAGTCTGGCTAGAAGGTGAGCCAGTTGAAAAGGAAAGGATGGAGCAGGAAGACCTCCCTGAGGATGTAGCGCTGCTCAGCCCAGCCCAGGACAACAATGGGATGTGAGTCTCAGCCACCAAGAAGGGAGCCAGAGGAAAGGAAGGGAGGACAGTTCCACACTACACATTTAAAGCATATTCCATGCATGTTTAAAGGGCATGGCTTCCCCCAAAGGCTGCTGGGAACTGTAGTTTTTAAAGAGTTCTGGAAATGGTAGCTCTGTCAGGGGGGAAACTACGTATAGGATTCTTTTGGGGAAGTAATGTACTTCAAATGCATGTTGGAATATGCTTTATCTGGCATATGCGAGTGTGAAAAAGAGGAGGGACAACAACAAGCAGAGAGCCAGACAGGAAAAACCAAGGAAAAGGAACAAGAGAAGAGAGGAAGCAGGAATAAGGGCCAAAATCATCATACTAAGAGCATATTACACCACAAACTTAAAACTGATTTAACCGTCCATCAGCTTTGGGTAAGGAGCACCGTTCAGGGGTAAGGCATCTGCTTTGCACACAGAAGGTCCAAGTTCAATCCCTGCCATCTTCAGGTAAGGGTGGGAAGAGCTGCTGCCAATCCATGTAAACAATAGATAAGATAGTTAGATAGACCTCTGGTCTGACTCAATATAAGGCAGCTTCCTCTGCTCTATGTCCCAGCTGCCCTCGGGAATCCAGAGCAATTGGTGCCTCTAACAGCCAACATTTCCATCATGAACAGGGAAGGGCTGTTGACTTCATACCTGCTTGTAAGCTTCTCAAATGCATTTGATGGGCTTACGAAGGTGGAAACTTGCCCAGGGCTACAAACAGTGTAAAAGATGGGATCTCAACTTCAAACATCATCAACTCCCCTGCTCGAAAAAAGAATCCGTTCCCCCTTCAGTAAATGTACCCTCCCTCCTAAAGGATCAGTGTCTTGTCAGTGGTGGTTCCACACCTTTGGAAAGCCTTCCTCTGTGTGGTTTGTCAAATCACTGCTGTTTTTCAATTCCACATTTGTTTAAGGGGCTGGAAAAAGAGCTATTAGCTGCTGTAGCCATGCGGCGCTCTGGTGTTACTGGCAGAGCAGGCAGGATTAATACTCCCATAAACCCAACTTGCACTGTTTTACTGGCATGCTAGTGCTAGAGACTTGCATCCGTAACTGCCATATTAGGGAAAAGAATAGCAAAGATCAATGCACACCGGTATTTCCCGTTTCCTTTGCCCTTATGATGGCAGTTTGGAGAATTGTGCGCACTAAACAATGATCTGCAGATTATGGGAACTGTCACTCAGCAGGACAGGATTTCTTTAACAGTGAAGTTTCAATACCTACATCAAGCTAAAAGCCCAGGTTCTCCAGTGTGAGTCACGACAAGTAAACTGTTGTGGTTTCCATAATAACTAAAGTTTGTTTTCAAGGTGGCTTTGCACATTGCAAGGAAGCATATGACCATTGCACTTTCTCTCTCTGCAATCCCAGTGTAACCAATGGAGGGGAAAGTCATGCATCACCTCTGTGGCTGTCTATGCATCGGAGAATACACAGCTCCTCATACATTCCCCAACTACACTTTACTGTATTGAGCACAAAAAGAAAAGAATAGGTGTCGTTTGCTGGTTCTCCATCTTTCGGTGCTTCCTTGCAAGTTACAAAGCCACTCTGTCTTCTCATAAAGGATCATTTGTTCCAAATGCAAAATCTTTTAGATCTTCCACCATCCTTGCAAAGCTTGCCCACCTAGCACCTCCTTGAAAAACTCCTTCTCCCGATGACCAGGCACGCAAAGGGGTAGGTGGAAAACTGCAAGGAAGTCAGTTAATGTGTACCAATATGTTGCAATTATTGAGGGCTGCATTTATTTTATTTATGTTCTGTACTTAACTTACTTTAAAAATGGAAAAGGAGCTGCAAAGGCTTCCATAGTGCTATGACACTTCTCTGCTGCAATGCACATTCTGGCATTATGGCACTTGCTGCGCTAGTTTGACGTATGTAACAAAACCCTACCTGGGAAATACAATGCCCACAAGAGTATCTCTTACAAAACCAAGGCACACAGTTTAATACAGGCTGCAATTTTAAAAGATCGCTATAGAAACCCTTCAGTTTAAAGGGGGGGACACCACCTTACAAAAGATCTTCTAATTTCCACTGTCAATAGAAATCTGTATGTCTGAAAGCAGGTGCTGTGCTTCGCTATATAGGCTGGCTAGCAACTAGTCTAATTCATTAAGAAGTCTATAAACAAGCTGGCCTTTGTCCCATGGAGATGAAAGAACTGAGACTACAATGGGATGAAAGGTGTGCACAAGGATGAAGAAAGCTATTATGGATCTATGTCCTTTCTTAAACTCGTCCTGGCATGCACTGTTGACAGGGGAACAAAACCATACAGACAAAACTCTCAGAAGTGCCTTGTTGCTAATAGTTCCACCTGTCTATGTTAAAACGATTGGATCTTGCCTATCATCTTACTAATGACAGACCATGCTAACAGAAGGCAAACACAATAGAACTATAACAGCACCATGATTTCTTGAAGAGCATCTCCTGCAGTATAGCATTAGACTGGTCTCTACAGGCAGCAGGCAGCAGGGGAGCGACTGGGTGCTCTGCCATAAAGCAAACTGCCTTCTCCCTGATATGGTATTTTTCTATGTGCAGGGATGGATTTTTTTTCAACACAAAGGTGCTCAGCCCCTTCATCGAGCCTTAAGCAGCTCAAGGAGGGGCACAGAAACCCAGTTGATTGCATATGCTGGCCCAAGAAGGGGTTGGGTTTGGACCCAATATAATACAGTGGTACCTCGGGTTACATACGCTTCAGGTTACAGACTCCGCTAACCCAGAAATAGTACCTCGGGTTAAGAACTTTGCTTCAGGATGAGAACAGAAATCGTGCTCCGGCGGCACGGCAGCAGCAGGAGGCCCCATTAGCTAAAGTGGTACGTCAGGTTAAGAATAGTTTCAGGTTAAGAACTGACCTCCGGAACAAATTAAGTTCTTAACTCAAGGTACCACTGTACATGCAATTATCTTAACTTCAACCCATCAACCTGCACAGTGTAGAAGCATGTTGTCTGCTTTTATGTAAGCTGTGATTTCTTCCTAAACAGGACCTGACAAAGAAGAGCTTTCTGTTCAGCATTTCAAATGAAGCTTTACACTTTTCTCTGGGCTACTATTTTTGTGATATTGCTTAAAACTCTCAAATGAAATGGTTTGTTAAAATATTTCAAACTGTAACACAAGACTCCTGTAGCTTTTGCTTACATAGAGATAATGGATGAGGATTCTAAGACATTTGTGGAAAGTCAGCTAGCTTTTTAGGAAACAAATAATGCATGCTGTTTCTCTGGAACTGCCACCTGTGTTTATCTACTTCTACTGCTGGAGAGATTTGGAAAGTGAACTCACCCCCCCCCCCAAGGACTGGTATTAGGACCTGTGCTTTTTAACTTGTTCATAAATGATCTAGAGTTAAGGGGTGAGCAGAGAGGTAGCAAAGTTTGCTGTTGATACAAATTTATTCAAAGTAGTTTAAAAGAAAGGTGGATTGCAATGAGCTCCAAAATGATATTTCCAAACTGTGTGAATGGGCAGTAAAAGAACAAATTTCACGTTAAAGGTTATTGGGAAAGGGATTGATCCAGCAAGGCTCTCCTTATGTTCTTATTTTTATATAACCTTTATCTAAGCTCCCCTCTCCTCAAGCTGCACACTTAACTGCTAGGATAGCTCAGTCAGTAGAGCATGAGACTCTTAAATCTCAGGGTCGTGGGTTTGAGCCCAGTGTTGGGCAAAAGATTCCTGCATTGCAGAGAGATGGACTAGATGATGCTCATGGGCTATTCCAACTCTACAATTCACACCACACTGTTGCTGCCCTGAAACCTCCTCAAGTGATCCTCCTAGGATGGGATATATACTTGAACTGCAGTAATGCCTCTACTTGCCTAGGTGTAAGACCGAGAATTGAGGGGCGGGGAGCGGTGTATGTGCATGCAGAAATCTCTGACTTTCACATGCTGGAAAATAGCCTACCGTTACAAAGGTAAGAGTCACACCTGTTGTTATGCCCACTTTACCTCTGGCCACGCCCACCACTTGTATGTGGCCCCTGAAAGGCTGCCCAGGATGGAATGTGCCTCTTGGGCTGAAAGAGGTTCCCCACCCCTGAGATAAACAATGGAAAATGTGAGCTATTTCATTCATTCATTTGCATCTCTTGATTGCTCACCATCTGATACAGCTGAGCAGTTCCATGGAAAAGCAAGGAATTGATTGAATGAAATACTACAGTTCTATCTGTGGTGTTCAACAATGACACAAACAAGTCCTTGCTTGACGCTGCTGCAGCCACCAAGGGACGGATGTGTATATGCAAAGCAGCTCTAAGTCTTGCAATCCTTTGCTCACTTATGTGGGACCACTTTCCTCTGAACCCAGAAGCGTTTTAGTTCAGAGAAAGCCTGCACAGGATTGGTTTGAGATTAAAGTCTCATGCTCTGCAGACTGAGCTATCCTATGATTCTATGAATTGAGTTTCACTGTTTATAAGTTCGTCCTGGTTTTCCTGGATTTAGAAAGTGTGCCTGAACATTTTGGCTCTCTCTGTGTTTATGTGCATGTATCTACACACACACACACACACACACACACACACACACAATGTTTATAAACAACTGCGTGCAGGTTCACATGGTCGCCAGTGTGCGTGCACCCAGTTGCCATGATCTTTCTGCATCAAAGAGGGGGTGGAAGGATTACAAGGATCAGATGTATATCACCCAGTGTACAAACGATGACATACATAAAATGGCAAGCTCCTGGCAATTCTCTTTTACTAGCATACTTGATTTCTGTACAGAGAAGAATAATCTTGGTTCAGACGCTCAGCTCAGTATGGGGTTTTTCCTTACCAAACCCAAGTTTTACAAAGGATTCCCAACAATGGAGTTCCATACGGGTTCAGCGACAATGTCTAAAGCAGAGGTGCAGAACCCTTGTCAGCCCAAGAGCCACATACTATCATAGACAACCTTCTGGGGGCCACATTCAAGTGATGAGCAGGACCAGAGGCAAAAGTGGGCATGCCTCTAACTTTTGTATAGTGCATACACCCACACCCATCTTGCTGCCATTGATCCAAGCCAGCATCATTGCAGTTAAAGGAAACATTCTACCTCGGCAATGCAGAGCAGGGTTACTGAAGGATCTGGCCTGGAGATAAGAGGTATGACCTCAGAAAAGTCCTGAAGAGGCCTGGGGGTGGCGATTTGACACCCCCAACCCAGGTCTACTTAGAAGTGGCACCTCTTTAGCCTTTTATCTCCCAGCAGACTATTCACAAGACTCTTCCAAAACCACCATTTTATCATCAACAGTCTTACTTTGTGGTCATTTGGACAATCATGAAATCTTAAGCAAAAGAGCGCATAAACACAACAACAAACATGAGTCAGATTATCATTTCATATTCAAAGGGTGTGTCCCTTCCAATTCCCAGGGAGTCCCTTCTTGTTTAAAATGTGAGCTGCAGAGTAGAGGGCAGTGGGGGGAGCCTGGGGCTGCGTTTAAAGCTCTTGGCTGTTCTGAACTTCTGTTTGGATTTGGTCTGGATTCACAGAGTTGCAATCTGTACATGCGGTGGTTTCACAGATGCATGTGACACAGGCTAAAAACAGATACAGCAAAACTGGTGCCTATAATTATATATTTTAAATAGACAGCTTGCCCCTGAGAGTGTTCTACTCAAATCCAGCCAGTTTATTCTGACCCATAGCACACAAAGAGAAATCCCCATTGGAGGACCACATCCCATTAAAAAGGCTCAGCCAACCGCAAGCCGAAAAGTGACAACTTCCATTTAATTTGCATAAACCCATCCACATGTGCTCACCAAAAGAGCACGGGCTGGCAACCCAGGCTAGCTCATTAGAAAGAGCAGCAAATGAGGATTTACTAGAGAACGTTTCTTGGGGTCATTAAGATCACAACCCACTTACTGCAGAGTTCTCCCACTGGTCTAAATAGGATCCCTCTAAAGTAAAGGGTTTGGGGACTGCAACCTGAAAAAGAACTGAAACCCCACAAGCAATCCTACAAAAACTGGCTCTTTGGAGAAGCTTAAATACTGCCTGTGTGTGTCTCCTTTTCCACCAGTACTTCTCCATTTACAGCAACACCAGCAATGTTGCAGTTATTCAAAGGTGGTTTAAGCCCCTTCATCTGTTATACGTTGCAGTCTGTGGCCTGCTGCAGTTCAGGTTCCCAAGTCTGAACTAGCCTCATGGCAAAATGCAGACAAACACTGCTAAAGCGAAGAAATAAAGATGGACATCATGGCATTCCTGTTCAGGCAGCAGCAAAGACAACAAAACAAGATTGGGAGGTGAAGCAAGGAGTTCTAAGTCGCCACAGCAAATGTCTCTGAGCCAGCTCCCAAGTGCATTTACAAGATGACACTAATTGAGATTAATTAATCCACAATTAACAACACCACATAATCAATCATCACAGTTGCAACTACAACTGAGAACCACCTTTTTATAGCTAGTTCTGAAGACTTCTTGATACAGAGCTGTTTTCCATAAGAACACTTTGTCCATACAGTACTTCCATAGTAAAAGAAAAGAAATTATTACTCTTTCAGCACATGCATATGGAATTATTCTCACAATCCTAAATTAGTCACAAAGGTCTTTATTCTAGGTTAAATTACCCCATAGCAGCACCATACCCCTCCCTGTTTTACTTGATTTTTAAAGAGCTAGACAAGTACCCCACCCCTACTGTGAACTGGGTACCAAAACATGTACATTAAAGTATAATTAGGGGCCCATACACAAGATTCTGTAACCTCCAGGCTCTAAGCACTTGTACACAGTAAAATGATGCAATTTCCTCATCTTTTAAAAATCCATACTCATTGGTGAAGGTTTCAGTTGATGCTTGCAATCCACGCTGGCTGTTGCAAGCATGGAACCCAAAGGGCTCTATTTGCTTCTCAGTGGTTAATCTGCCTTTTGCCATGCAACTTGGTCCTATGCATTCAAGCACCACTCACTCCCAAGTTAGTGTGCATACGATTGCAGCCTTAAAGTGAATCTATGGATGTTGCCTTTGCAGGGAAAGGGCTAAAGACAGCTGATGGCCCAAACCTTTGGCCTTGGAAAAGTATTTCAGGTGGCTAGAAACACTCAGTAATAAGCAAAAGCACATATTTGAAGATCACTCAGCAATGACAGGTTACATGTTAAATTAATGGCTCTCACGCTGTGGGACATCACCACCCTTGTTGAGTATGGATCACCTAGTCCTAGGAGGGATAGAAAGTTATAAGGAGGGACAGGATCCTGAGGAGGGACCCATCCTTCTCTCAGTATTCTAGACACACTGGTAGGGTGAATGTCCCTTAGAAGGGGATCATAACTGATTCACATTGGATTTGTGAGGATAGCATTCCTCCACTTGCTCCATCCATCCAACCCAGTTAGCAAAGACCCACTAATTTGTTCAGATGTTTCCCTGCTTGCAGATCTGAGAGGCATCATAAATCTACTTTTCAAACACCACCGCCTTTTCAAATGCCAGTGTTGGGTAAGAACCCCAATCAACAGGTCTTTAACAGCAACAGGCTGCAGGCACCCAAGAATGGCACAACCAAGGATTGCTGTTCGGATGGTTGGTGCAAGGATGGGGGATCCCATAAATTAAAATAAACTTTTTGGGGGGTGGATATCAAAACACTTCAGAAGTGCTGCACTAAACCCTTCCTTTAACAGCTGTCTCATACATATAACTAGAGGGTTTCTCAAAAGGTGCTTAAGTGGAGCGTTAATATTTTTAAAGCCCAGTCTAATACTTCTGGGTGAAGGGGCAGCATCTTAAGCCAGGACAAACACTGAAGAGATAGTAATAAATAGTTCCAGGTCAGTTCAAGCGGGGTTGTTGTTGTTTTTTTAAAGAAGATTAGCTCCATGTCTGAAGAGATGTCTGGCAAAATGTCCCGCTGGGTCACTGCAATTTCCCACAATGCCCTGGAATACCACTATTGGGGGGGGCATTGGGGGAAATGGCTCCTGCCTGCTGCAGGTGTCTGCCCAAACAGGCCCTACAGGGTGGCTCATGGATGCCACAGGAACTGCCCAGGATGCCAGGCCTGGGCTGCTATGCCCTTGCATTGCCAGTGCCAGCCACTTGGCCTCACCATCCCACAGGTTCCTCCTGGCTTCCCGGAGGCCACGAGGAAGTGTCCTTCCATCTCCCAAGTGTTCCCCAAGCCCCTTCTCCCTCTCCCTGCCAGCCAAGAGACTCACCCATGTTGACGAAGCTCATGACCATGTCGGCCTCGGTGAGGAAGTTGCTGTCCTGCAGGCTAGCCAGGGGCGGCCCCTGGGTGCTGAAGATGGGCTTGTAAGGGTACGAGTAGCCCTCTCCGCCGTCGCTGCCTCCGGCGCCCTCCTCCTCCACCGACATGGCATTGTAGAGGTCCAGCATGAACATGGGCGCCGAGTTGTGCTTGCCGTGCAGATGGGGCCTCGGCCGGTGGGGCAAGCCCAGGATGGAGAGGATCTCCCGCTGCATCTCCCGGCGCTCCTGGCTGCGGAGCCTCCGGTGGATGAAGCTCGAGTGCACCTCGTTCTCCAGCGTGAAGTCGGCCAGGGCGCAGCGCAGCTCCACAGCCCAGGCGCCCAAGAGGAGCCACACCAGCAGCCGGGCGGCAGCCGCCTCCGCCGCCCGCCGCTTGAACCACCCCGCCGCGCGCATCTCCGTCACGGGGGGCAGAGCCAGGGAGCCGGCGGGCTGGGCAGCGGCGGCGGGAGAGGCGGCCGGCCGAAAGAGCCGCGCATTAAAAAGGAAGGGGCAGCCGAGCGCGCCGCGGAGGGACCGATCACTTGGCCGGCGAGCTGCCCTGGAGAGCCCACCGAGAGGCGCGCATGATAGCCCGGGCGATCCCGGGAAGGAGGGAGGAGCGAGCGCGCTTACTTGCCGAGAGCCATACGCGGAGAGAGGGCAGGAGAGCGGCCCGGCGACCCCGGGCTCCGACCTGGCCGCTTCCCTCGGGGATGTGCTCGCTCGCCCGCCCGCCTCGCCACCAAGCGCAAGGCTTCTGAGCGGCGGCTTAGCCGAGCAGGCGGCAGCGGGAGTTCGCGCAAAGGGGCGGAGCTCGGCGCGTTGCACTCCCTCGCCCAACTGGGAGAAGCGTCCCGAAGTCAAGCCACAGGAAAAGCCAGCCTCGCCGGCTGCGTGGGTCCGCCGCTTGCTTCCCCCGCCGATCCAGGCTCTGTGTCCCCCAACAACGCTCGGACCCTGGGGGTGGGGTTAGGTTAGGAAATAAAGGTTTTTACGCACGCGGCGTGCGCATCGGCCTTCCACATCTGGCACCGGGAAAGCGAGGCACTTGTTTTACGCAGGCACGCGGCGCGTTTCCGCGGGAGCGAGCCCCCCCCCCCCTTTGCTCGACGGGGCTCGCTCCCCCAGGTAGGATCTCACGTGGGCGGACGAGCCCCAAAGCGAGCTGCTGCGGCTCGGAGTGAAGTTGTTGCAGTTCCGGCAACAGCAACGCCCCGCCAAAGTTCTGGGACTGGGGAATCAAACCGCAGCGTTTATTTCTAAAGTGTAGCTTCTAACCACCTTTTTGGGGGGGGGGGATTGTGAAGTGGGAACTGTACTTCTGGTATACTGTTCTCCATGTATAGAGCTTAGCAAGGAGCTGCGCAGTTCAAAGCAAGCACAGCACGCAGGTAAGAACAAAATAAAGCTCGATACTGCTTCCTTTCAATCGCCGCAGCTTTATGCTACAGTACTACGTAAGTAAGGGCGTTGCTAGGTCTTTAAAAGGACTCTCGGAACAGGCTCATGATGCAGATTTACATAGACTTTGCAAATGCTAATGTGTATGAATGGATGCAAATTTAGATCTCTGAGCAAATTAAGACGGTGAGTGGCTCGCACTTTGCAGCATGATCACTGCCTTGAATGCAAAGTTGTTGTTTTCAAAAACTTTTTTCATGTTTAAGAAAGGGTGGCCATGAAATCTACGGCCCAGTGCAAAGGACTTGTCTTAAAATATTTGAACCTATCATTATTAACCTGCCCCCCCCCGTACTTTGTAGGGCACCTCCACGTTTCCTCTGGGGGGGTCATTTTTCCTTCACAATACAGCACACATCAGTTTGAAAGATTCACAGCAATTCATAAAAAATGTTAAAACCCAGTTACCAAATAAAGCAGAAAGCCAAACAAAGTTCAGATTATAGATAAGAAAAAATAAAAATAAAAACCCAGCCCATCCAGTACAGGTAACTGGACTTCCATTAGCCTGCAGTTGCGTGGGGAATTATATGACTGAATGCTCCTCCACTTTTAAAATAATACCCCAAAACAGAAATTTAGAAGTCAAGAAGATGGCTTCTAGTGTGTGTTTGTTTTTAACCTTTGATTATTTCTTCCCCATTCCCATGGAGGAATAGTCAAGCACACAATATCCCATCTGCAGTCCAGAAATAATTTTGCTATATTATTTCTTTATTTGTCCAGCCAATATCAATTTGATAGTAATCACTGAGATTTTCAGAAAGTGACACTTGACCACAGCCTTTGTTGGAGCTAGGGGAAAAAAGGATGATTCACACACTTGTTTTTACATTCTTCTTCTTTCTTTGGCGATCACTCGTAGCCGAGTAAGATTGTCTTTCATAAACACAGTTTTAACAATGAGTCCATAAGTGACTGTGGAGGCCAATTCTGGATCCACACGTCCTTCCACAGTGGGGACATTGGTTTCCGGGCAAGAGTTGATCACAGTGTGGATTTGCCAAGCGTGCCTTCCTGCTAGCACGTTTCTTCCTTGTGACCTGAGTTTGAGTGTCTTCAAAGCCCATGACACCTTTGGTAAAGGCTGTTCTCCAACTGGAGTGCTCTCAGGCCAGTGTTTCCCAATTATCAGTGTTTATGCTACATTTTTTAAAATTTGCCTTGCGAGAGTCTTTAAACTTATTTTGTTGACCACCAGCATTACACTTTCCATTTTTAAGTTTGGAGTAGAGTAGTTGCTTTGGAAGACGATCATCAGGCATCCGCACAACATGACTAGTCCAAGGAAGTTGATGTTGAAGAATCATTGCTTCAACACTGCTGACCTTTGCTTCTTACAGTACACTGATATTAGTTCGCCTGTCTTCCCAAGTGATGTGTAAAATTTTTCGGAGACACCGTTGATGGAATCTTTCAAGGAGTTGGAGATGGTGTTTATAAGTGGTCCATGTTTCACAAGCATATAGTAAGGTTGGTAGTACAATAGCTTTGTAAACAAGCATTTTGGTTTCCCTGCGAATGTCCTGGTTCTCAAACACTCTGCACTTCAATCAGGAAAAAGCCGCACTCGCAGAGCTCAGGCGATGCTGGATTTCGGCATCAGTGTTGGCCCTTGTGGAAAGATAACTGCCTAGGTAGGAGAAGTGATCTACATTTTCCAACGTTACACCATTGAGTTGGATTTGTGGCGCTGCGGAGGGGTTATTTTGTACTTGTTGGTACAGCACTTTGGTTTTTTGGATGTTTAGGGATAGGCCAAGCTTTTTGTAAGCCTCTGCAAAGATATTTTGGATGGTTTGGAGGTCATCCTCTGAGCGTGCGCACACTACGTTGTCCTCAGCATACTGAAGCTCTATGATGGAAGTTACGGTAACCTTACTCTTTGCTTTCAGCCTGCTCAGATTGAAGAGCATAGTGATGACTGCATGATGGAGCAGTTGTGAGCTATTCTTTTTCTCATAGCAGCTGGTCTTCTCAATGCCCACCAAGTCATTGTGGTTCACCACGTCCTGGAGAATGTTCAGCATACAAGTCAGGGTGAACACATGAAGCTGCCTTATACTGAGTCAGACAATTGATCCACTGCCTACTCTGCCAGAGACTCTTCAAGGACTCAGTCTGCACTATACATTTGAAACAGTGTCATAGCACTTTAAACACACATGGCTTCCTCAAAATAATCCTGGAAACTGTAGTTTGTTAAGGGTACTAACAGCTGTTGGGGGACCTCTATTCCCCACAGAGCAACAATTATCAGAGAAGTTTAACAATGATTCCCTCTTGCCAGGGCACTCTTGAAAATTGTGGCTTTGTGAGGAGACCGCTTCTCTGACGGTTCACTAGAGAATGGGAGGCGGGCGTATTCACACCTGCTCAGTGATCTTGTGGGTGGGTGTGTCACCACTTTCTCCTTCATTCACCTGAAACGTGCAGGGAGGAAAAGGTGTGAGTAACCTTTTCAAGTTGTATCAAGTAACTACACTCACCCTTGTGGATGGCAAGATCTAGAATCACTCTAGATCCCTGGTTCCCAATGTGGGGCACACGTCCCACAGGGGGGCAAATTTATTTTTAATGGGGGAAATTCTAGAATGAGTTATTAACCGTGAATGGCCTTTTAGGCTGCCTCCGCGTGAATAGTTCACTTTTTGAATAATAAGAATTATATGTCATGGGGGGAGGGGGCAGGCATCAGGATTTTAGAGATGCTTAGGTGGGGGCATTGGGACGCTGATCAGAAGGTCGGCGGTTCGAATCCTTGTGACGGGGTGAGCTCCCGCTGCTGGGTCCCTGCTCCTGCCAACCTAGCAGTTCGAAAGCACATAAAAGTGCAAGTAGATAAATAGGTACCACTCCGGTGGGAAGGTAAACGGCGTTTCTGTGTGCTGCTCTGGTTCACCAGAAACAGCTTAGTCATGCTGGCCACATGACCTGGAAGCTATACGCCAGCTCCCTCAGCCAATAAAGCGAGATGAGCGCCGCAACCCCAGAGTCGGTCACGACTGGACCTAATGGTCAGGGGTCCCTTTACCTTTACCTTAGGTGGGGGCATGGACAAAAAAAAGGTTGGGAACCACTGCTCTAGATTGAAAGGAGCATGTTGAGGATAAGCATGAACGATTGCATATTGAGAAACACTTTTTAATGCTACAAACAGGTTAGCATGTATGTGGGCTAAGACAGCCAAAGATCACTTTTCCTCAGTGGAAAAGGGGAAAGGAAAGTTGTCATGAAAATGTTTAAGCAGAGCCAGCTTGTGGTTTGATAAGATAGTGAAATAAGCTTGATACCATCATTGTTAGCTTATGTTGCAGCATGATCTTAACAGTTCTTGATCCAGGCCTCCCCACCCACGTGTACATGTTGTATCTTGTCTTCAATTTTAGCATAGACAAACCTGATGATCCAACTGCCTTATCATATATAATCTTTGCCTCACAGGAAAAAAGCAACAACACCTGATTCTGACTTGGGCTTTGAGGGGATGCCACAGTGCATTTAAAAAAAACCATTCGCTGCTTACAGGGGTGAGAGGTTGTGTCACCAGGTCAAGCAACTGCTGTGCCGTGATTACATAAAACAGGGGCTGCTGGTCCTCTAGATGTGATATTAGGTGCTTAAGTTGCTCCTCTTTGGTGCAGAGATAGACTCTGAGAGCACTGGAGCAGGAGCACAATCTGGAAAAGCCAACTTTTCCTTATGGGAAGCAGCCCTACTAGAAAAATTAACCAATAAACTGAAACTGACACGGGGACAAACAGAAGAAGACGCCTTTACCCCAGTACGGCTCCCCTTTATCACATACACAGCCCAACAAGACAATGACAATAATCCACCAACAGCATACAAATCAATATGGCTAACCTGATCCAAAACACCCACCCACCCCACTCACACATGAAAACAAAGATCACCACAGCCAATCACAAACAAACAACCACACCCTAGGCCAACCCCAACCTCTCTCACCACCAAAGGAACACAAGTGAACAGCAGAGAACCTGCACAAGCAACGCTAACACCAAACCCTACATACATTAAGCAAAATAGAAACATCGCCACCCGACCCCACCCCCACCCATCTTCCCCCCCTCCACCCCTTTTCTTCCTAATGTCTCAACAAATGAAACTGATTTGTAAAAATGTTACATGGAAAAAATACAAGAGACATTACACATACTTCTGTAAATCAAGAAAATCTTTAATAAAAAAAAAAAGAATCTTTCAGAGATTTTAGCTGCCCTCACCCCCATTGACACAAGGTGGAATTCAGCTCCTCAACCAGAGGTTTTCAACCTTTTTTGCGGCACCCCTGTGGGGCTCAGGAACCCAGTTATGTCACCCTTTCCTACAGAGCTGGCAGCCTCACCATTTTTCGAAGACCTGCCTTTGTGGAGGCCTCCTCTCCCCTCTCTTTGGGAGTCCTGTCCCTGGTCTCTCAGCTGCCCCCCTGCCTAAAGAGAGATGCACCATTTGCCTGCGGAGTTTGTAGCCAGGGCTGCTGCAACAAACAGCCCCGCAAGCCTTTGGGAGGCAGAGACACAAGAGGGCATCAGAGGAAGGAAGGAAGGAAGGAAGGAAGGAGGGAGGGAGGGAGGGAGGGACAG